CTGTTTTGTCTTGTGTGGTGCTCCATGGAGGAGGCAGCTCCTGAACACGCTTGCGCTCAGAACATGGGTCCTGGTGCTCTAAGTTTGAAAGTGTCTTTGGAAGTAGCAGAGAATTGAGGTCTGACAGAGTCTGACAGAAGAACTGTGAACACCTGTGAGGAGGGGAGGAAAATTTACCAAGAGGCCTGGGTTTCTTAATGTGCTGTCAAGTGTCTGCATCATCTGAAGAACAAGACCCAGCATGTGACCTTCCCATTGCAACCAGCATGGTCTCATTCAGTGCTGTGAAGAAACAATTGCTGTGTGCTCAGCCAGCTCTTAAACAACTGTTAACAAGTTTGGCTGAGTATTTATTCAGTCATGCTGGAAAGAGTTAGTTAAATGCCTGAAGTGAAGCAACTTCCTTTGAGCTCATATGCCAGCTGAAATAAAACTCCTAAACTCCTAGCACAGATGGCACTGAGGGGAGAACCAGAGTATCTCAGTCTCTGAGAAGTCCCTGGTAGCTTGACCTGGGCTGAATTACTCTGGATGCCCAGGCTGGCCCGGTTTGCCAGCTGTTTTTATGAGCTCTAAGCTTTTTGGGGCTCAATAGAGCTAAGAACTGCCATGTTGCAAGATTGCTTTTTGGTTTTTACTTGATACTTTGCTATTTTGGTTACAGCTATTCAGAGAAATGAAGCCCAGTGTCTAAGCCTACTTGATCTGTCTTCAAAGAGCTGGCAGAATCTTTCAGTTGCAAAATGGAATGAGCCTTGTGGCTTTCAGCTCATTTATTTTGAGTCATCACCTCAACAGCAACATTTGCAATCTACAGTACTTCTGTACTTACTGCAGTAGATAGGAAGATCTGGAAGTGTATGTACAGTGCACTGTTTCTTCTCCATCTACTTGAAAAAAGGTCTTTAATCTAAATTGACTCTCCAAGATAGGTCCTTATTCCAGCTCATGATCTGTATTTTAAATGTGGTTGTGCCTTTTTCCAGCTCCGTCTTTTGCCTCTGACCTTCAACCACATGAATTTTCCTTGCTCCTTGCAAAAGAGTAAAGTGGCTGTCTGAAGACAGTCCTTCATAAGCTAATTCTTTCCTGTGGGCGAATCTCCATTTTCAAATAGCTTTTCGTGCCCCAGGCTGAAGACAAAACTTCGACCAGCTCTACCAAATGTCTTTCTATACCCAGATCAAACAGTCAGTATTAATGTGTCTTTGCTTCTGTACCAAAGTTAGTAACTGCATCCTGAAAACCTAGCATCCTCTCGGTTGACATGCATACTTGCATGATAGTTTCAGCCCAAATAAAAATTAGAAAATGTGCGATGTCTGAGGTTTAAGTTGCTGAGCTTAGTGAGAGCTGCGTGCTCTGCCCCAGTGTACAGGAGGGTTAGCTGACTGCAATGCCAGCAGAGGCTGAGGTCATTTTGAGAGTAGCTTGAAGAAATAATCGAAAGCGTAATTAATATATGATGCATTGAAATATTCCTCTGCAGGAAGGAGAGCCTTTTTTTCCTAAGAAAGCTGTGTAGCTGAATGGGCTAATTGCCTAAACCTGCACAGCACTGTAAACTAGGCCTGGGATATGGCTTGCAATTACTGCTTTAGGATGATGTATGGGGCTGAGTGTGATGGTATTTGGCCAGCCACGTGGAGTAACGGTGTTCATGCTGTGCTTCCTGTGCACCAGGTGCATCACTCGTGCAGCTTGGTGCAAAATGCTCCTGTATCTTCTTTGGAAACTTTAGCATTGGATTTGAGTGTTGGATCATCATGAGGAATGGATTTCTCCTATTGCTAATAATGACCCCAAGAAACGTGTGTATGTAAAAGACTTGAGTTGTGTGGTATTGCTCTTCTTGTAAGTTCTCCAACTAAAATGTGGGTAGGAGACCTTGTAGAGAGAATTTTCTTTTAGTCCACCACCTTGCAAAAAGCGCCATCTATGAAGAGGAATTTGTCAATCCACCTTGTCACCTACTCATTACATTAGCATTGTAAAAATTCAGCGGTCATAGACCTAGCTTGTATTTTTGTCTTGTTAGAGCACTAGATTAAAAGTTAACTATCACTGAGGTTTTTAGCTTCAGAGTTATGAAAGCGCGTTGAAAGCTTGTTGATATTCTGTGTAGCAGGTTAACTGTGTCTTCCATCCTACACATCCTACATGCTTTATATTTTTTCCCTCCTTGCACAATACTTAAACTGTTTGTTTCTTTCAGGATATGCAAATACACTTCTTGTTACTGAAATGCATAGAAGTTGAATACACTGAAATCTATGCCAGAAACATAACACATGAATGCCACTTCTGCTCAAAGATAAATTTAGCTTCCCAGCTAGATGATTATGCTGCACAATGGGCATAGCAAGGCCAAGAAGTGAATGCTTTAACTAACATTAGAAAGGATTTACTCTTCCCATGTTCAGAACACGGCATTTTTCCCACTTATTTGGTAGGTATCTGCTAGAGGTTGTGCTCTGAAAGGGAGAACAACCCTTTCTAATGGCATGGCAGGAGTGAGAGGGTAGGCAGGCATGCAGCTTCCTGGGGAAACTGGGAACAGCAGGCCATAGGCTTCTTCACTGAAATAAAATAAATATAAAATCTGTACTCTTGACTGTGGGAGCAGCCTTGGTGACTGCGTCCTGACAAGGTTTCACTCATCTCTCATCTCACTGGGAAAATGCAAGGCTGTCCATAGCTGGGATCCCTTCAGGGTCTGGGAGGAGCCTGTTGCCGCTGAAGGAGAGAACTTGCCTTGCAATATATAGTGTAAAGGCAGTGTGGTAGTGTAGGGACAGAGTAATGTCTGGCTGTGATTGAACATGGCAAGCGTAGATGCACTGAAAATGTGTGAGTCCCTTTGGGTTTGCAGGCTGGGTCAGGCAGAACTTCTGTAGTTAAAAGCAGGATGGTCAAATAGGAGCTTAAATGATGTGTTCTGTGCAGTGACATTGCTGGTCTCCTTTGCTGTGTGGCACCACCAAGAACTGTTTTCTTGACTTTAAGTAAATCTGCATAAGAATCCTTAAGTTTTTTTGCTAACATACTGAGTAATGATTCATTTTTTATTACCATTGGCATTAAGTACTAATTTAGTTTCCTCTCAGTAGGAAGAAGAGATGGTAATACTCTAACTCACACTAATACTCCCTTAAAAATGCATGTACACACATACGCACACCCCTACATAAAATGAAAGCCTAGCTTATGTTTGAGTAGCAAGCCATGATTGCTTTCTACAGGGAAACACGACTGTCAGTCTGTAGCTGCTCTTTGGGAGAGGGAGGGTCTTCCTTCTTGAGCCAAACTTGAATTTTCAGGTGTCTAGTAGGTATTGCTGTTGAAACTCCAAGAGTATTCCTTGCTGAAAAACCCCAGGGAATGAGAGTTCACTTTCCTAGTCAAGCTGTCGGTCCTTCCCATGGCTGCTTGCTGCTCTAGCCAGTAGTGTGAGATCAAGGACAAATCATAAGACTTTCTAGGAAGTGTGACTCATGTAACCTACTTTAATGTGGTCAAGTTGATTGTATTTTTTCCCCCTTCACTTCTATCAGCTGCAGCTAGTCACGTTCAGTTTGGTTTTTGGGGTAAGCTTGGAGCTGATGGTGGGGATGGGGCTGCTCTGGAAGGAATCAAGGGCTTCTGAAAGTGTTTGGGCAGAGAGAGGAGAGTAGTGGGAAGATTAACTACTAGGGCAGCCCTCTTTATAAGGGGGCCTTTTTAGCTTTTGGGGGAGTTTTTTGTCTTTTCTTACATAACTTGAATCAGCCCCACAAGTTCCTCTGGCCACACAATCACTAATGCAGTTGGGTTGGAGGGCGAATGACATCTCTCAGCTTCTTGATCCCTTTGTTGAGCACTTGGCTCCTTCTGTGCTACAACAGCAAATGGTGTCCCCAGAAGCGTTAGAGCCTTGGAGAAAAATGGGTTTACTGAATTTGTTAACTTCCAAGTCTTTTTAGCACAATTTAAGTGTATGCTATTAAAAGATGATTAAATGAATTTATGAAAACACCAGCTGGTTTTCTGGTAATAGAGCGCTCCAGCATGGCTTGACTTGCAGCGTAGGTAGGCTATGCAATGGCAGGGCTTCTAGGTGCATTATATGCTTACTTATGAGTGGGAGGCAGGCTGTTGAAATAAAGTGTAAATTGAAATATTCTCTGGTTGAATAAAGCATCTCTGCTGGCCTGAGCTCTGGTGTAGTTTGTGAGCCAGAGTGCAAGTCTGCAATTACCAGAAAGTTCAGGAGGAGGAGGGACCTATTCATAGCTTATACACGTAGTCCACAAATGGCATTTTAATTAGTTGTATACTTTATGCAGCCTGTTTAGCCTCTGTGCTGGGTAACCGGTTGACTCACCACCGTATTTGAGAGACTAGCACTTAAGTGCTTTCTTGGAGTACCTCAGTGGGGAACACACTGGCTTGCAGGTCAGCAGAGAAGTCATTACCTTTGAATATTCTTGTATGAAAGAGTGTGCAGCCTAAAATCCAACCTTAATCTCTAAAAATCTTCCTGCACTATTCTTACAGTGAAAAATGCTAGTTATGCAACTAATTTTTCTATTCAATGCAAGTATAGATTCCCACAACAGAAGGTCTGTTTGCATATGTATATGTGCTGCTGTTTGTTGCAGAAAATGCTTGGTATGTACCAGCACATCACTTGTTCTTAGAGACCATACTGCAGCATGTATGTTAGGACTAAGTTATCATAAAGGGCAGCTTAAGGAGAAATCTGAGGTTATGTTTTTCTGAAACAAATATAGCTGATATTGGTTTAAAATGTCTATTTAGCTATTTGTTGTGGCTTCTAGCAAACCCTTAACTTGAAATAAGTCATAATAAAATAAAGTATGAGTCCTATTGTTAGAACTATGTCAATGGTGGCTAGAATGTGTCCTAAGATATATCTGCTCTGTAGCTAAATAAGTTGAAAAGAAAAAAATGCCATAGTTATGCAAGCTGGCTTTAACCTTTTTCCTTTTGTTCTGCAGGTAACTTTCAAACCGGAATCATGAACTGGCACTTCCCACTTCTCTTTATTCTTGGGACTTTAACATCTGTATGCTCCCAATTCAGTTTTTATCCTCTGGAAGAACTGAGCTCTGATGTTGGGATCCAGGTCTTCAATCAGATAGTGAAAACTAAACCTCAGGACAATGTTGTGGTTTCTCCACATGGGATTGCATCAGTATTGGGTGTGTTACAGCTGGGTGCTGATGGCAAGACAAAGAAGCAGCTGACAACTATGATGAGATACAGCGTAAATGGTCAGTGATTCCTAGGAATTTTGGGGTGTGTGCGGCTTTTTTGTCAGAATTTTGAAATGGTCTTCAAGGTGTGGTAGATGACATCATAAACTAGTTGTTAACTTTTTTTCCTCAAAGCAAGAAAAGAACATGATTCTGGAAGCTAACTGAAGATTTGAGTGTGAACATCTAAGTAAACTTGATTTAGCTTATAAATAGCTTCCCTTAATGACTTAAGGGTCCTAACTAGAACTGCCCTCTCATCCTTACAAATTGACTTTCCAGAGCAGAGTTGGATGGAGGTCCAGCGCCAGCACTATGTAGGAAGGTTGTAGTGTCCCATTTCAGGCTTTACTGAACAGCCTCCGTGATTCCTCTGCTAACAGGACGGTAGAATATTTCCCACTGTCACTTAAAAACAATGCAAACTAACCATATAACTGATGCTTTCACTTCACCCTTCAGCTTTGTTCCCTTGTATCTGCTGTGAGGACTTGTGAATCTCTGGTTCTTGTAGTGCCCTCTTCTTGAAGCAGACATTTCTGCTTGTCTCTGTTTGTGATAACTGCATGCATCCGGCTTTGTATTCCTCTGCCGCTGTCTACCCCTCTAATGGGTACAGGCTCAAGGTTCTTGCTGCTTTACTTTGCATGCAGAGTATTTTTGTGAGTGTTGCCTGCAGACTTAACATCTTAGTGCCAGCATTCAGCCTTCCTTCTTGGAATAGGAAACCTTCCCAGAGGTAAGTGCACTCTTAATTCTTGAGCAGTGTCATCATACAATACGTTGTCCTGTCTTCATTTGCTTTGCTGTTTTGATTCTGGATTCAAAGCACAACTAAATAATTTGTCAGCTTAATTAAATGTTACAAAATGAAATCTCTTCATGGGATAACCAGCTCCATATCATCTGAGTACTCAAAATTTAAGTACTTGCAGCAATTCCAAAGCGTTGCATCGGCTGGTTTTATTTGACCTGATCACTCTCTGATCTTAGCTGTGAGACAGAGGTTCTCAAACTCTTTAGTAATCAGTATCTTGCTATTGAGATTGTCGTGGGATGCTACCTCTGTTTGCACAGACCTCCTCTGCTCTTCTTAATTGCCTTACAGTCCTTTGGCAATTGCAGCAATGGTTATTTGAAAAGGTAATAGTTGGAAAGTATTTAATCTATCTTTAGCTGTCTTTTAATGCGATTTAGCAGTTGGAAGCAAGGAGGAGAGCCAGCATCATGAGACCAGCCAGCTCTCCCCGGACCACCAGCAAGTGCTCCGTGGACCACCAGTGGTCCACAGAATACTGTTTGAGAACCTCTGTTATGGTATGTGCACCAAAAGAGTTTGCCCATAATAACGGAGAGTGAACACGTGGAACTTCATGCAAACAGTTCTACTAAAGCATTCATTATGTTATAAACAGCAAAGCCATCGGAGGCTCTCCTTTATATGCAGCTAAGAGGATAACTTTCTCACCACCTTCATTCTCTTCATAAACTCATATGTTTGTCTACGTGGGGAAATAGTCTGTTTTTTCTGCCTAAAAGGCAGTTGGGAACCAGGAAGCCCACTGACAACTGCTATAGAAATGGTCACCCATGGATTTTGCCCTGTGTAATGGTTAAACATTGAATTGTTTGAATGGCAATAGCTTCCCTGTGTAGACAAACTCTTATCATAAGCTGTAAGGCTTGGGAGAACTGGATATGATGAACATATCCACTCTTCCATGCTATCATATGCCTTTCTTCACATGCAGCTAGAAGGTTAGTAAGCGGTTAATGCAGGCTGCTTTCTGATCTTGAAGGCACTGACTGTAAGCATTGGGTCCCATTGCTCTTTTAAGACAATGCTGTGTGTCAGGGCCTGACTCCTGCTTTGTAGCAAATTTAATTTCCTTAATGACTGCCCTTAAGACTTGGCTTCGAGTTATTTCTTTTATTCTCTGGTACATGGAAAGGATGGTAAGAAAATAACCTTTGCTTTACAGTGGGGCTCAAGACTCCTTGTATAATTCTTCAGGCCTGTTGACCTTGGATGAGAAGGTTGAGGCCTGGCCTGACTTGGCTTGTTGTGGTGGTGTGACTGAGTGTTACCTGGACTTACACAGCATGTAATACACTTTGGAAGGATGTGCTCAGTAATACCACGTCAGCACTTGGTCTTTTCTCTGCTGTTGCCTATAGCAGTCTGCATAGACAGCTAGGCAGGGAGCGGATGCTGTAGTGAAGGGTGGCACTTTAGCTGGGAGCTGTGGTGTCCTTCAGGTGAGAGATCAGAAATGGGTGTTGTGGAAGCTCTCTCCTGCTTGGACACTTGTGTTCTCCCCTAACACTTGAAATGTCTGACCTTTCAAGTCATTAATAGCTGAATAAAAACTGTTTGTTTGTCATCTTATTCTTAATTAAACTTGCTGTTCTTTCCAACTAGGAGTTGGTAAAGCGTTAAAGAAGATAAACAGGCTCATAGTCTCAAAAAAGAATAAAGACATTGTTACAATTGCTAATGCAGTATTTGCAAAGAATGGCTTTAAAATGGAAGTGCCTTTTGTTACAAGGAACAAAGAGGTGTTTCAGTGCAGTGTCAAGAGCGTGGACTTTGAGGACCCAAATGCAGCATGTGATTCCATTAACCAGTGGGTGAAAAATGAAACGAGGGGTGAGTATTGGCAAATGTTTTCTGGCATGGCTTCTAAGTGGCATGTCTGAGACATCTCAGATTTCCTGCATTGGAAAATGCAGGAGAAAAGATGGAAAGGGAGGAAGAAGCTCTGCCCTGCAGCTGGGAAGCGTTCTTAAGCTGACTTGTGGGTGTGGGTAGGGCGACTTAGAGCCCGTGGGCCAGGAACCCAGCAGTCCCAATGCCATGGCAGATACACTGCCTGGTTCCCTGAGGGTTGTCTGTGGTGGCTTGTTTAGTGGCTTTCTTCATGGGAGCAGAGGAGCTTCTAGTGGTCTTTGCTTCCTGCCAACCTACAAGATACCCAAAGAGCACTGCCCTGGAGCTGCGTCTTCAAAAACACAATGTGTGTGAAAATTTCTGACACAATAAATCTGCTTTCTAATGAAGCGTAGAGCAGTCCAGCCTTTATTCTTATTACCCCAGATTCTTGCAAGATGTGGCAATATTCTTTGGGGTCATGTTCAATAGAAGATTTTTAATCAACACTGCCTTAAAATTTTTCAGGGTTCAAGCCTTTTGGCATCTAGCTGTTAGGCTTATATGCCAAAGTCAAAGGTTTTCTTATGATATATTCATTCATAGCTTAGATAAACTCCACGTTTGGTATCTCTTGGAGTTTAAAACAGTGCTCACTAAATGTGTGTGTGCTGCTGATGGCACTCAATGTGGTGTATGGAAAAGGAGGCTGTGAGACTTTCTCCACGGTGTTGCTACCTTTGCATAGCCACGTTATGAGCAGTACATCAGTGGCAAAACTTCTTCATCTGAAAAGGTTGCCCCAAATGCATTCTCCCACAAGTAGCTGGTACATTCAAAGAAAAGTAGACTGAAGTATCGTGTGTTTTAATAGCTTCTGTGATCAGTTGCCTGGTGTGATGACAGCACATGCTCAGTCTGCTCTTACTGTTTTTTAGGTATGATTGATCAAGTTGTAGCTCCAGATGATATTGATGGCAGCTTGACCAGACTGGTTCTGGTGAATGCTGTCTATTTCAAGGGCTTATGGAAATCACGATTTCGACCTGAAAATACAAAGAAACGTCCTTTTTATGGAGCTGATGGGAAGACCTACCAAGTTCCTATGTTGTCCCAGCTATCTATCTTCCGCTGTGGTAAGCACAAGATTTTTTACCTCCCTGTTAAAATACTCCAAGATATTTGCAAAATGTCTGCTTTCTCTTTCAATCAGAAGCAAAGGCATTCAGTATGTATGTGCTATTTAATTATATTTCTTCTGAGGCTGATGGTAAAAAGCTTTCTAATCTTACATAAGTGTATCTCAAACTTAAAACGCATGGGTCAAGTTGCTCTGCAATTATTTAATAGTGGCTTAAGTTCAAACTCTTCGTCAAAGTACTTGCTTGTCCTAAGAAAATAGTGAAGTACCAACATTGAGAACTTTGCATGTCACCTAAGCCTTGCAGTAGGAGGAAAAAAGGATAACATTTTTAAAAGAACAAAGGAAAACTGCCTGCAGAAACTAAACATTGAGTTAATGTGGTGATGAAGATATTAATTGGATAATTAAATGAAAGAGGAATAAATTTATAAAAGAGTGTATAATAAGAAAATGGAATAATAATAGTAGAAGGAAAGCCTGAGTAACACAGAGTAAGGATTCTGACAGTATCTCTCCAGGTGTCAAGCTGCTCTTCAAGTTAAGTTGCAAGTGGGGAGCTTGCAGGTTCAGCCTGACTGCTGCTGTTTGAGACCGCAAAGCGACTGCTTGTAACTCGCACTGCTTCAGGGCCTCAGTGCTGTAGATCAGTGTGGATGTTATTGGTCAAAGTAAAATTAAAGCTTTGACTTATCGATGCCTTCTGTTGTGTCCTTCCAAGACTAGAGCTGTGCAGTTTGTAACTCGCTTTCACATATACCAAATCTAGCCTAAAAAATAATCCTAGAAATTTAACCCCCGTTTCACTTTTTTGTTCACTTATGGACTTTCACTGAAGTTCATAATTTAAGACAGATTTATCTTAATGCTTATGGCTGGTCTTGAGTTTTTATATATGTGTATCTACATTCTGATGCTCGTTTTTAAAAATACAAAAAAAAAAATCCTCTGTATAATTTGAAGCTAGGAAGGAGTAAGGGAATTCATGCTGTTTTAGGTAGTATATCTTAACACAAGGACGCTTTTATCCTTTTTGTAGTGCTTAAAAAGGAATCCCTAAGTTTAAAATCTTTCAAGCATCTTTAAAATTCCATCAGCTGATTGTAAAGATAACCCACTCGTGTTTTGGAAATATTAATAAAATAATGTGTGCCTCAGAATTGAATGAGAAAAGCAGTATCTCCTAGCCAGATCATGTTTTGTCACATTTCTATAGTTAGTGTATGCAACTAGTATTTTTATCTGCAGGCCAAAATCCGAGACCCACTCTTACAGTAAAAGGAAAAAAACTGCAAAACTTGACGTATTCTCTCATAAGTGCAACTTAACCATTTGTCTATCAATCTGATGTCAGTGAAGGCAAGTTGCATGGCCCTGGCAACAAGATTAAATTTTCATCGAGACATCAATCTTCAGCTTGGACTGACAAGTGAAGACTGAGGTGGAGAAAGGGAAAGCATAATAAGATGTTATTGCTATCCAAAGACTTTTCCAGAAACTCTGCAGTTTGACCAACAGGTTCTCACTTGAAGGTCCTATAAAAAACACTTGCTGCTCAGTTGCATGCCATAAATCTCAGAGTTAGCAAATGGAAGAGAAGATAAAGATGAACCACCTCTAGTTGGAAGTGGTAAGGAAGCTAATTAAAACTGTAGCCTGCTCAGGTGCAACAGCTGTAACTTGGTGCTCACTACTGGATGCAAAGGATAGTTGGTCACCCGAAGTGTTTTATGTAGTGCACAGTGTTCTCTGGGGTTGCAAACTTGTGGTGGCCAACTTGTGATTTGTCCAGCTGAAATAACACCAACTGGTTACCAAGTTATGTGGCCAGACCCAATTTGAAAAGCTTTCAAATCCCCCTTCTATGTCCTCTGCCCGAATTCTCCCACTGGCAAGTCAACCACATAGAAAACCCCAAGGCTGACAGCTAGGTCAGGTTTAGATTTGTGTTTGTAAGAGTCTAGAGAAATTCAAGAAGTTCAGAATGTTTCAGCACTGCTCTATGTACCTGAGCAAACTTGGCTGCTACCTGTGATTATTTTTGAGCCCAATATTGCTTGCGGTTAAATTTGAATTAACAATCTGATGTTTCTTTATCCAACATTGGATTCTTAAACTTTTCCAGGGCAGGATCTATGCACTGCTGCCTCATGCTTGTCTACCTTGTAAATTCCGAGAGCTGTCTTGCTGAAATGAGAGGGGGAAAAGTGAATTTAGGAACTGCAGGATACCAAGGATTCTTGAAGTAAATGTAATGGACTATTTTGAAATAGAAGCTCTTCCAATGACTTTTTGAGGAGGGGGAAAAAAAAGCACTTGCCTATAAGATGTCTTCAATTTGAACACTGAGAAATAAAAAGGAAAACAGCAGGACTCTCTCCAGTTGGCTCTGTTACAGCTGAGATCTAGAGGAGGGATCCCAGCTGATTTAGACCTGCTAGTTTCTAATGTAGCTGGCTTACCACTGTGGCCTGATGAGGCTCATCTGGGAAATAACTCATTTCAAACCTTTCCCACCTTTTATTTTTTTCCCACCTTTGTTTCCCACCTTTTTTTATTACTGTTGTTGGACTAATACCTGCACAGACCCACCTGGTGCTTTAGAAGGGTTGCCTGTCTGGAAAGCACTAGTCTCTTAAGACTTTCTTACAGTCGGTTTCCAGGTGTGGATAAAGCTTTCCTGACAGTCCTTACAGCAGCAGGCATCTAAGGATAAAATGGAGATTGAAGGCTGTAGTAATGGTGGCTTTTATCTTTTTTCTTAGGCACTACAAGTACCCCAAATGACCTGTGGTATAATATAATAGAGTTGCCTTACCACGGTGAAATGATAAGCATGCTGATTGCGCTGCCCACGGAAAGCACAACCCCGCTTTCTGCTATCATCCCCCACATCAGCACAAAGACAATAGGAAGCTGGATGACAACCATGGTAGCGAAAAGAGTGCAGGTTATTTTACCCAAGTAAGTCCTGGTAATATCCGTTTCCTCCTCAAGAAATGGTGCTGGGAGTAGGTGAATGAATTCTCTCCTTGTATGCAGGAGAAAGGGTGCTTAAAGCAACTTTTGTACATAATGCTCGTTATGTTTTCTTTGCCCTCTAGATTTACAGCAGTAGCAGAAACAGACTTAAAGGAGCCTCTGAAAACGCTTGGTATTACAGATATGTTTGACCAGTCAAAGGCAAACTTTGCAAAAATAACAAGTAAGTTACTTAGGGCTGTTCTACCACTGCAGTTGTCTGATTTTTGTCTTGCCTAATTATTACTATGACATACCACATCAGAGCAAAATTGTATTTTATATCTGAATAACCTAGCCACTCTTCAACTGAAATAATGTATGCTGTAGTATCTTTTCCCTTGTTTTGCATTGCAGGAGTAAATCATGTTGGTCAGCTTTTTATGCTTAGTTGTTCTTATCTGAGTGTCTCAAACACTGTCTGAAATGTACGTCAGGGCATCTGACAACACTGGGGTTTTTACTTGGGCCATAACTGAAGAAGCATCTGCATTATTTAGCATCTTTTCACAAAATTATATGTACACCTGTTTAAATTGTCTTGAGCTGTAGGAAAGAAACAGCCAGACTAAGTGCCTATTTTAAGGAACTGCACCAAAGCAGAGCTCTGAATACTAGCCTCTGAAAATGGCAAGCAAGCTCTTGGCTCTCAGATGAAGTGTTGGTACCTCGCTCCTGTTGCTAGCTACAGAAATCTTACAACCCTCCACTACAGTGCAAGCTGTAAACAAAGCTGTAATTGAGAAGAAATTCTTGCATGCTAATTGCAAGATGTTTTCAAGTGTGCTCCCATGCCCTTTCTTCCATCTGTGAGATAAATGGGATTGTAACAGAATATATTTTGAAAATTCTGTAATTAAAACTAAATATAGATGGATATTTGAAATTTAAACTGTTAAGTAAGGGAAAAACTAGTAAATAAGGAAGTAAAATAGCTTCTTCCCCTTTTTTTGTGGTAATAAATTTAATGTCTGTATTCCAAGAGCACTACTGCTCTTCAGCTGCTTTCAGTGCTTTGCTGAAACTTTAGGATTTGGGCAGAATTGTAGCACTCTTATGTTCAGCTATGTAGTTCTTCTAGCTGCAAGGTGCTTTAAGTATTCGTTTGCCTGCTGAAAGTGCTGTTTTGGGTTGTTTTTTTCTTTCCAGGAACAGAAAGCCTTCACGTATCTCATGTTCTGCAAAAGACAAAAATTGAAGTTAGTGAAGATGGAACCAAAGCTTCTGCAGCAACAAGTAAGCAACTGTACTGCCAGTTACTGATCTCAGAATAACTGAATTAGGAGAATATACCATTAAGTGAAAATAGTCTTCTTAGAGACCATTGCAGGATTTTATTTTGACTTAGATCAGTTGGGTTTTAGTGGCAGATTTGTATCTTCTTGAGAAATGACAATAATCTTGACCTAAATGTACACTCTAGGAATTATAGACAAATTCTTAGTTCTCTCTAGGGAAGAGTGTCTCTTAACAGCTAAAACTGTGGCTTCCAATAAAAATCTCTAGGCTACTGGGTGGAGGACAAAAGCAGACACATCCTTTTAGCAGGACAACTTCAGATTTGCTTCCATTTCTGTTGCTGTTCTTGCTTTGCTTTATGGCCCCTATGGGAATGAAGTGTAACCTGTGCTGCTTTAAGTATGTCTAAAGCAGTACATCTTAGATGGTTATCTGTACAACCCTCTACTATTTCCTAGGAAATTTCTTTTAGGTACATTATGTGCTGTGTTAGGACACTTCATTTATCTAACTTCACATCTTATTTTTCTTGCAAGCTGCAATTTTAATAGCCAGGTCATCTCCTCCTTGGTTCATAGTAGACAGGCCATATGTATTTTTGATCCGGCACAATCCAACAGGTAAGCAATATTTCTATGTAACTTTTTGTATAGAATTTTTCGTATGCGTTATGTGAATGAGTCAAGGATTCCCAGATGAAACTACTGAATAACTACTGCTGTGGGGTTTTTTGTTTGTTTTAGTAGTAATAAGAAAAGGTATATTTTCATGCTCTAGAACCAGATTATTTTCTTTTGGATGCATCTTGATGCAGGGAAAAATAAAAGTATGGGCTACCAAACTAGAGACCACATAATCTCCAAACTGGAGACCACCTATGTTCAGTTCATAGGCACAGAAAAACACCATCTTTTACAGTCAGAGGAGCAGAGCGGAGAGGAAATGGGAGTTATCCTCATGCTGCTGATGGAGCATTAGTGAATAGAAGCTACTTCCTGAAAGGCAACAAAAGAGTTTTAGGACAGTTGAGATTTCAGAGTTTCGGGGTGCTGCTGCAGCCCACCATGCCCACGTGTGTGTTCCAACACGGTTCTAGTTCCTCTGCAGCGTGGGTTGAGCCTCTTGGAGTAGAGCTGACCCAGTTACATTGAATAGCTCGTCTGCTTCGTGCGCTGACATCTGGATAATAGATATGCTAGTCACTGGGGAATAAGCTGCAGCTGCCAGTGCTGGGAGAAGAGCAGGCTCCTGGCAGCGGTCCCCGGGCTGAGACTGCGCAGAGCCTGTGTCTTGGCTGGAAGCGGGATGTGCTGGCTGCTTCCCAGAGCCGCGCGTCTCTGCTCCTCATCTCCCATGCGCTGCTGCTCCGACAGCATAGTATTGTAACAGCATTATATATGCTACTATATGTAATTTATATATTATAATATTATAACTAAGGCACCGGAGACCCTGCAGTGACACAGCATGTGCCCTCCAACCCTCACCCTTCACAGAGATGCTTAACTGCATTGACAGACACTGTGTGGTAATCCCTGTTTTCCTTTTATCTTGCAGGTACAATCTTGTTTATGGGACAAATATTCAAGCCTTGAATGTGGAATAGACTTCCTTCAAGAAGTCACCAGTCATGTGACGCGTCCCCGCTCTGTTAAATATTTTGTACACTACTTTCTGACTTCACTCAAGAACTAGTTTTTAACCACTGGCTAGGTTTTGAAAACGGAGTCGATGTAGTTCTGGCTTTGTGGCAGAAATACAGATTGAAAGCTACAATATCTTTTTGAAATGTCTAGAAGTCTTTAAACTACTGAATGGTTACCTATGCTAGCAAACTTCGAGCTTCTCCTGTATCTACTAAGAATTTTATGTATGCCTTTTGTGAGAGGATTTTAAAGAATGAAAAATGTTCCTATTAATGTTGGTTTCTCCTTGCGTGTGAAAAGATTTAATTTTGTAGATACTGCCTATCAAGATACCTTCTGGTTCTCGAGTATCTTGGTACTTGGCTATTCTTGGTAGAAATAGATTAAAAGTTTTAGCGACTTTTTATTTTATATAGTGCATGCATCACAGAGTTTTAACGAATGTGGTGTTAGATACTCTTCGCATTGTCCTGTCTTGTTGTAATGTAAACTTGTCATTGCTAGTATCCACTTTCTATTGGATTTAAATTTTATATTTGTTTTTGTACAAAGGAATAAATGAATAAAACTGCATTATGAACTATCGATGTTGCGAACGATAGTGATGTGCAGATGCTTGGGACAGACCCCAAGGATCTGTGCAGGATTCTGAAATACTTTTATAAATTAAGAGTGTCTCTTATGGCCTGTTGGCCATACCTAGCTAAGTTATTCCTGCTTTGGATGAATGATTCCGATGTTAAATATCTGAAGACCAAGTTCTTTGTATCTGCTGTGTCCAAGCTCTTCCTAAGAGTGCCAAGTAAAACACCCAGATGTTCTTTCAGGGCTTTCCTTGTGCTTTCTGCAATGAAAGTTTATGTGCTTGTGTCTTCAGCTTTGTGCAGGGCTTAGGTGAATGCAGACTTGTCAAGGAGAAGCACTAAATCAGTTTGGTTCATCACAGCTGGTGCCTTGAAAGCATGTTTTGCTGTTCTTGGGGGATTTGAAGGAAAAATCAGATCTCTCCTATTATCTCCCTTTCTTAAGGCCAGGTTCATGGAAACAGCTGGCCAGCTGACGGGGGTCTGAGGGGAGAAATTCCTGCAGCGTTTCAAATTGAGCACTGCTTTAAGTAGGTGACTGTTGCGTGTGTCCACAAGTTGGAGGATGAACGAGGACTGGGCATCTCAGGTAAGAACATAAGATTTTAAGCAAAAAGAGTTTCTAGCAGAGGCATTTGAATGTGTTACGGATCTCCAGTGGTAATCCAGTAAAAAAGTTGATTTCAGAATAAGGAGCAGCAGGCAACATGTATGGCAGGTAACAACTTTTAGGAATGAGTGTCAGGGATCCTTTTCAAGCTACACCACCACACAGCTCTGGAGCAAGAGCACCTAGTTTAAGCTTTTTGGCTTTTTGTTTTCTTGTCTTGAATGGGTGGCTTTGCTTTTCTGTTTTTGTTTGTTTTGAGGAAGCTGCTTCCTCAATGCATATAAGATTTCTTGGGCTTGATGACTCTGTTGCAGTCAGGAAGAACAATAGATCTGGCTAGCTGTCCTCTTACGGGATGTGTTAGCTGCCTATCCCTAAATTCTTACAGAGAAAAATGCCCCTAGCAATCTCTTGGGGTGGTAATGCATGTCCAGAGCTAGGTCTGCTGCAATGCTAACTCCAAAACTCCCTGAATCTCATTCTTATGTCTTGTCGAGGAGATAGTGATGCAGGCAGCAAAACCAGGCTCTGGGTCTGTTTGACACCAGAAACTTTAGTAAGATTAGTCACAGGGAAGTTCTCCAGGTTGCTGGGTTGCAGGATGCTTCCTTCGTGAGACTTAGGCACAGAGGACATACAGGGCATTGCTAATTTGAATTGAAGTAGCATCCATATATAAGAATTTCCTAGTTGCTTCTAGTGAATTCTCACTTTCAATATTGAAATGAAGGTGTTGGCATTGGAACTGAGCTCCTGTGGTGTGTGCACACAGAAGCAGTGTGTTCTGTGCCACAAGCAGGCTCCAAATTGGACTGGGAGCGAAAGAAAAGTGCCATGGCTTTGAGTTTTCAGTGTACCTTAACGCTGGTTCTCTGTAAACAACTGTCCAGCCCTTCTGTTAGCCCAGAAACAGCTCAACAAAATGAGGTGATTGCCTGGAACTGCGTTTGCTCTGTGGTTGCTTGTTTTATATCTCTTCCCCGGCCAGGCTGGAGCTGGGCAAGGCAAAGCAGGCAGCCTTGTTCCCCGGAGAGCATCCAGGGCTACCTCGGAGCAGCGCCCCAAACACCCTGATGGGGAATGTCACACCTAGCAGCTCCAGCAGCTCGTGGATGAAACATGTCACAGCTCAGGAGAACATTTGTCTGTGTCCTGACACAGTCGAACAGGGTCTTCCCAGTGCTGGGGAAAGAAAGGTCTAACAAAAGTGGCTTTGAATTAGGATGCTGGTGGCATCTGCCTGTCAGCTGGGTTAGGGAGATCTCGGGGCAAGGAGGATAAGAGGCTGGGAGGGAAGGAGAGATTAGGTTAGCGGCTGGAACGTTGGCGGCTCTTACAGCATGAGTCCTCCCCCGGATCCGCGCTCCTCCGGAAAGCGCCAAGCTCCGGGCCTGGGAACTGATGCGTATCAAGTTTCCAGCCCCGCTTCAGGGAGTGACTGGAGTCCGGCTTGCTGTGCTGGGGGTAGCCTGTGCTGACTGCAGCCTCATTAACCCTTCCTGCAGCAGCAGCTCGTTAGCTGGCTTCGGAGGATGGGAGCATCTGCGTGCGGTCTCCAGAGGCCGGCTGCTTGGCCTAGAGGAACGTCTAGTCCAGCCTGAGCACTGTTTTATTTCTTCGCTGGGGCTGCGTGCTGGAGGGAGGAGCGGCAGCCCTGGGACAGGATCTGTAAGGCTCGGTCTAGAGAGCAATGGGATCAGAGCCGTGCTCGCAACCGCGGGCGGGAGCGAAGCCGCATGGAAGGAGGGCAGAACTGCAGCTCGGAGCCCAGCTCTGCTCTGGCACAGGGCCCCTCTGCACAGCCCTTTCCCTGGACGTGCCTCGGTTTCTCCACCGTTACAGCAGAGCTAACGTGGCCCTTGAGATGTGAACCTCAGGAACGGGCTAGACAGGACTGTAAGGAAGCCCTAGGCAGGGAATGACCACACACAACACTCCTGGCTATGCTCATTTGGTCCTAGAGACCAAGAAAGTGTTGAAAGAAGTTGTTAGTATTTGCTGTTTTTTTTCCTACAGTATGAGGAAAAATTAGCTGACTGCTCATCTCTGGATTTTTTTTTTTTCCTTTTTTTGTGTAGTTTCAAAGCTCTAAAAAAGGCTGCTTTAACCATGGGTTAATTACACTCAAAAAAAAAAAAAAAAAACCCACCAAAAAAAAACACTTCTGTGGTGGTTGAGAGCGCCCTGGGATCACTCACCCCCACGGCGGGGGCCTGGGCGCTGTTCCCGGGGCCTGCCCCCTTCCCTCAGCCCTGCGCCATGGGCGCCCCGTGACGTCACGGCGGCCGCGGGCGCAGCGCCCCCTGGCGGCGCGCGGCCCCGCAGCCGCGGTTCCCGCCAAAGCTCCGCGGGATCCGCGGGGACCGGCCCGCTGCGCGGGGAGCGTCGCCGCGGGAGGAGTGGCCGCGGCAAGGCTGGGAACGGCAGCGGGAGAGGCCTCCCCGCCTCGCCTCTGCCTCTGCGGTGATTGCACGTCCTCCCTCCATCCGGATCCCACACTGACTATCCTAGCAGGAGTGTCCGCTTGTTTGCCGCCCTGCGTTGGCATCGCTCCCGCTGGGACATGGGCAGTGAGCGGGGCTCAGAGGACCGCACAGTAACGGCACTAGGGGTGTTTACACTAGGAGTGTTCCTTGCTGCGCCACGGGGACACGAGGGAGGGAGCGAGTCCCCCACCGCCACCCAAACTAGATGGGCGTGTCCTGCTCTTCCACGAAATACGGCCGCTCCACTTCAGGAAATAGGGCGGCCCCGCCCTGCGCGGAGCCGCGTGGGAGGGGGCGCTTTACTCCGGGCACTCCGGGGCGGCGCCGCTACACGCAGCGTTACGGCGCGCGGCGGGGCGCGTCAGGTGGCGGGCAGGCGGGCGGCGCTCAAGATGGCGGCCGAGATCCACTCGCGGCCGCAGAGCAGCCGGCCCGTGCTGCTCAGCAAGGTGGAGGGGCACCAGGACGTGGTGAGCGCCGCGCTGCTCATCCCCAAGGAGGACGGCGTCATCACCGCCAGCGAGGACAGGTAGCTGCCGCACGAGGCGCCGCGGGGCCTGCGGGGACGTGTGTGCGGCCCCCCCGGTACAGGGAGACCCTGCGGGAAGGGGCCCCCGGCGTGCAGGCATGGCGCCGCCCGAGCCCTGTGGGAATTGATCCCCTTTCCCCAAGCCGTCTAGGAAAGGGGTGCCCCCAAACCACGTGGAAACGGCCCCCAAAGAGGTGGGAAGACTCCTCCCATCCCAAACCATGCAGGGATGGAGCCATCCCAAGCCATGTGGGAAGGAGCCCCCATCTACAGGAATAGGGCTCCCCAAACCCCATGGGTACAGACCCCCGACTTCATGGATGTCTCTCTTACCCTCTTAAACCTGTGGAAGGGCCCCCGACGCTGTGGGAATACCCACTTCCATCCCGATCCCGTGGGAAGGGGTGCCAGACCTTTGGAGAGCAGGCCCGCGTGCGGCGCGGAGCGGAGGGGCCGAGCGGGAGGCCGCTCAGGGTGGGTGCACCCGGGAGGCAGGGGCTGCGGCACACGGGGCAAGGCCGGCCCTGTGAAACCAGGGCCCTGGGGCGAGGGGACCCCTGCCCAGAGCCGCCCTCGGGAGCCGCAGGTGACGGAGAAACCGGGGGCGGCTGCGTGGGGCAGCCGGGCTGTCGCAGAGCGCCTCTCCGTGGGGCAAACACCCTCATCCTTGCAGGGGTGTCTGTGTAGAAGGAGTTGGCTTGAGGAGAAACCGAGGGCAGCGAGCGGTGGCGTTCGGCAGAGCCCTGGTGCTAGCGCAGCTGCTGAGCAGGGTGTTGTGGCGCTTAATAGTAATAGATCAAAGTAGTAATAGATCAAAAATAGTAACAGATCAAATATTAAAATGGTAATAGTAAAATAGTAATAGATCAAAAAGAGCAAACACCAGCTAGTCACAGCACACGCTCAACTCTTAAAGCTTGCTGCTAGCATGGGCTTTTGAGATCTGTTTATTTTTTATGCAAAAGGTGGAAACTTGTCCAGCTTTAGATGAAATTTACCAGAGTTTGGTCTTTCAGTACCTGCTATTAAAGTTAAGCAAAGAAACAGAACCAACAAAACTGCAGGACCTGTCCTCGTGCTCGGGTAGCACACAGTGTATTTGTTACACTGCCTCGTGACCTAGCAACATAAATTTTACATTAAAAATGTGAGGCCAGCACCTCCCTTCATCAATCTGCTTATCAGCACCGTTGAGAAATCAAAGTGTTAGCCCACATCCACTTCCCCTGCAGAGGGATGAATGAATGCATTTGTTTTGTTCTTGACATGCAAAGGATTACTCGTTTTCAAGTGCTAGCTAGTTGGATTTATGATAAAATAGGCAGTAGAAGTAGTTGAATTTGGCGGGGGAGAGACTTAATAAGTAGTTTCTGCTTGCAGCTTGTCTGTGAAAATAAACTTCATGGTAGAAGCAAACATTGCTTTCCTTGCAAACGCCTGTAGCAGATGATGCTGGTGTTGAAACTCAAAGACAAGGCAGACAGCCTGCCTGCTTAGATTGCTTAGGCAGGACCTGGGGATACAGCTGCTGCTTTATCTGGGTAAATGCTGGTGTCAGATACAGAATCGCTCAGGGAGAGCAGGGGCCGTTCTCTGCCTTCAGCCCATTTAAGTCTCAAGGGAAAACTTGTGACTGAATGTGGAGGCTGAACTCCAGTTGCCTGTCTGAATATGGGAGGCACGTGGATCTTTAATGATCAGAAACCGTTGCGTTGTATTGCTTCTCATTTGGGGTGTCTCCTGCAGGACATCAAAGCCTTCCCACTCACGTGTCCCTCACCTGCATGTAACAGGTTATCAAATTTCTTGTTTTGCCCCTAAAAATGGGGTGCAGGTGTTAATGCTGCATAGCTAGTTGTGTTGCCAGCAGCAGGCAAAGTGTGGAGCTCGGGAGGTGAAAGAGCTTCTGCACACACTGTGTTTGAGCAGTGTAGCCACAGAGCAGGGCTTAAGTAGTTTGAAATAAAGCTTAACGCAAGTAATGCTAGCAAGTATTTCATAATAACCAGCCAGAGGAATGTGTTCAAAAGTTAAGCATTGGGGAAAACATTATCAGTACACAAACCACTTCAGTGAGCGTTGTGGATTATCCTCTTGTTAAAATCATTGCAGCTCTTTCTACTGTAAATTGTTTCCTAGAAGCAATTCTTGATTTACCTGTTATTTTGGAGAAAATATGCGTATTTAGATCTCCAAATACTAATCAAATCTTAGCTTTTTGAAGATCTGAAATCACACAAGGAGGCAAGAACAAGTAGCTTGTGAGAGTTAAGTAGTTCTTTTTCCCAATCTAATTTTTTGGAATTTACCTAGTTAGGAGGTGGCCTAGCTAGGGCCTAGCAGGGTCTTGGTGTGACTCTGTCTCCAGGAAAGTACTTGGAATTGCTTGCAGTGTGTCCCTCCTAATCTATGTAGCCAGCTCAGGTATCAGCTGTGAGTTACATATTGCTGCTTGAGAATGAGGGGTATTTTCTCAGATCTGAGATAGTCCAATGTGGGCTGCACAGATTTGTGCTACAGACAGGTCTCTGGACGTAGTATTAATATCCCCGTTCTCTGCAGACGAGTAACTAAGGCAAGGTGTCTTCCAGCTGTACTTGGGAATGCTGAGGAATAATAAGCTGGTGTAAGAGATCCTCAATTTGAGCAAATAGAGTAATATTTACCATGGCGATCTCTGGAGTCCCTTGAATACTTGAAATCTCGTGCTCTGTGACTTTTGGGAGCTGCTGTCACGTTGGAACTGCTTTTAAGCTGCAGTATTAGGGGTTTGCTTGTCTGTGTTTTAGTTACGGAGGATAAATATCTTACAAAAATAATGCTATAGTGAGCAGAAATTCAGCAAAATGAGCCAATTGCAAGTTGTGTCCTTGAATTTGCTTGCAGTGTGGTTAAACCAGACACCTAATGCTGCTTTGGGAACACAGACAAAGTCAGCCTAAATACTTCTGATTTATTTTGACTGCTAGGAAAATACAGTCTTCAGTTCCTGTTAGGAAAACAATTGCTAATCACAGATTCCAGAGAGGAAGGCAGTTGTTAGTGGCTTGAAGGTGCTAGGAAGATGCACTTCTCCAAACAGGAGCTGCTGTGTGTCTGTGTTGGCCTTTGCGTGCTGTCTTTGTCCCTGCTTTCTCCCTGACCTGGATATTTGGCTGTCAGAGGCGAATGTGACAAGGTACCAAGGCCGGTGGAAGGCTGAAAGGCCATTGCTCCCGTTCACCCTGATTTGGTTTGTTTTTCTTTCTCAAGCAGGCTGTTTTGTGCTTACTTGCTGTGTAAATGAAACGCCTGTTGAGGAAACAATGAAAATCCTTTAAACAATGTGGACTTCATAAATTCTTAAATTGTCTAATATTAGTTAAAGAAAAACTCTAAATTACTCTTCTATGAATGTACATGCTTTCTAAGCAAAATGAACTCCTCTATCTATAATCAATGTGGGGGATAACTAGGTGTTGTTGTTTTTCTTGTTTACTTCCTCCTACCACCTTATACTGCGTATCTTTTAAATTAAAAATTTTGTCTGAGTGCTCAACTAATAGATTTGGGTATTTTAGACCCTTGCTGAGACCGCCAAAGAAACCTGTAACTTTCTAGGACCTTAACAGGGTTGTCTAAGGATGGGTGAGAGGGAGCCGGCTGTCTTGGTGCTGAGTGCAGGTCTGTCCATTACATAAGGGATGTGGGGATCCCCTAGGATCTGGGGAGCACAAAAGGCTCCAGCATTAGGATGGTAGTTCTCATAATAACAGGTTACAGAAATGGTATTATTTGAAGGACTGCTGTAGTCCTTCATGGTAGAACTGGTATCTAATAAACTTGTGCTAACAGAAGGAAATGCAACACGAGATGCGTGGGAGGGGGCTTCAGGCAGAAGTGCAGCTGTGTCACGTGCTGTTAGCTGATGGCTGCTAAGCAGTGCAGTGTTACCAGGTTTTGCAGAGTCACAGATTTATATAATTAGATACAGAGCTGTCTGGCAGCTCGTCTCTGTAACAGTGAGACGAGTTAAATCTAAATCTTAAACCAAAATAAGAGGCTTTTGGGAGCTAATTTCGTCGTCTCTTGCAGTTCTTTGCTTAGGCCCTGAATGTTAGTGAAAGACTGTGGATTTGGTGAGCCCAGGATGAACTGTACCCTCAGGAAATTATTTGCTTAGAAGAACAGTGCTATGCTACCTTGTGCCTTGGTATCAATTCCTAGATTAGTAAAATCCACCAGGATACTGAGTGCAATGTTTTCGAATTACTATGGTAGCTGCTTTTAGTGTGTTCAGAGCAAAAATAATCGCATTTTGGTTTGAGGGCAGGGAGTTGAATTAGTGTGGCTGGAAGCTGCCATGTGAAACATTGAAATTTGAGTGTGATGAAGCAACTTGGAGAAAAAGATAAAAAGCTATAAAATCTGCAGTCACTGTTTATGAGGTTGACTTGGAAACTTATTTCTTTGTCTCATGTTACTAAGAAATGACAGCTGCTCCCTGAAGCATTCAGCGTTGTGACCACGAGGCAGGGGGTGGGTTATGATGAGGAGAGAGAACGGGCTCTCGTAAGAGATGGAGGAGTTACTTGTGGGCCAGAGTAATGTGCACTTGCTGCTAGACTGACGTGGCTCGGTTCAAAAGCTGCGAATCTGGTTGTTTTGAGGCTGTGTGTTCTTCGCTCCACTGATATTGCTGGAAAAAGATAATATGTTAAGGGCAGGCACTGTCTGATTTGTTGTTTTGGAGTTGTCTTCTAAAGAAAGATCCTTAAATGACTTATAAAGTTGTATTCTGATTTTATATCTTACCCTTTAACCTGTCCTGAAAAATTCTAGTCCTGACACAAGATATATCCTAAAAACTTTCAATTGAAGACTCTTTTTTTAAAGTGTAAAACGGAGCAACTTATCTCAGTGAAAACTCTTAAGTGTCTCTTGATAAAGTATTTATAGAGCAGTTAGGCTTCCACTTGGGAATGAGGAAGTTGGACTTCGGAACTTCTGACGGGAGCAAGGAACACAAACAATGGCTCAAAGAAGTTGCTTAAAATAGACTTAAAATAACCTTGTCCTGTCCACTTGAGTGCCCTTAACTTTTTGATGTAAGTTCTTTTCAAACGTGTTTATTACAGGAATGATTTTAATAGATGATAACCTGTTTCTTTACTGATTTTGACCTGTCTCTTCTCCCAAAGTCTAACAGTTGTGAAAGTGATAAAATACCAAATGTTCTTGAGATACTTTTCCTCCTTTCTGCAGAGCCAGATTCTGAAATATTGTACAAAGCAGTTTTATAAGGAGGTTTAGCAAGCTGTATATGTTGTCTTGTTGAGTTCTATCAGTTCCCATTTGACCAAATAGTCAGTCCTGTTGCACTTTGCACTGTTGTGCAGGCCTAAATAACAGTGCTGCTAACAGTGTTTGCCGTTTGGATTTCTGCATGAGCTGTTGGAGGGATAACCTAGAGGAACTGATATCAAACTGTACGTGATGCTCCCTGTGGATCCTTGTGCCCACCTCTTGAGATGGAGGTGTTGGTCAAGTGCAGGGATAACGTGCTGGTCTAGGGGATTACTGTGCTGCTGTTAGTATTTGCTGTCCGGTTTGCTGAAATACGAATTGATAAGAAAAGATGCAAACATTCTGAGTTTCAAAACTTCCATACTAGAATGTTTTGTGATGCCTTTTTAAAAATATCATTTTATATATATGTATACATATATACACACACAGAGTATAAAATAACCTACAGTTTGCTGTGCCAGAGTTAAATTCATGTGACTTGAATCTGGCTGTAGTCAGCCAGAGTTTAAGGATAAAATTCAAGAGATGCAACATGTAGCATTCTGAGGTGAGCTGAAATAGTATTTCAATCTCATATTTACTGAAACTCAGTTTGTGAGTAGTTTGAAGGTAGCTCTTTGACATCCAAGACTCACTCTTATTAGTATTATTTCTCCCTGTTGAACAGCCAAAAAGCTAGCAAGATTGGAGCCTCGGTTGGATACTGGCACACATGTTTATAGCTGACTTTTCCCTAATCTTTCCACAACACAGAACAATCCGAGTATGGCTGAAGAGAGACAGTGGGCAGTACTGGCCCAGCATCTACCACACCATGTCATGTAAGTAAAGCCTTAGTGATGGTAAGTGACGACCAAGCACAGCTACGGACATTTTGTAACGTGGTGATGTGTTCTGTGTAGGAGAAGGCCTCCCGCGAGCACTGGATTCACTGATGATTTTGAATTTGAGAACTTTGTCTGACAGTTATGATCTAAAGTGGCATTCCGTCCTAAATTAGATCTTTCACAAATTGAATCTCTGTGTTGATCAGCTGCTGTAGCTGTAATATTGGTGTAATAAGTTGTCTGCTGAATATGTGAATGTTTTAAACCATTAACTAGAAGCTCTGACATTAAAATGTCCTGTACATTTTAATGCACACAATGCAAAGTATATGTATCTGTGTTTTGAAGTGTTAAATTATTAAGAAGCTACTTCTAAGCATCAGCTGCAGTGCTGAGAGATTTTTTTTCTTTTCTTTAAAACATCATCTAGCCTAGTATTTTTGCTGTCATCTTTCTAGCATGCAGTTGTTGCCTAGGAACATACCATAAATAAGCAGCTGGAATGTAATGACGACACATCAGCCTAACAAGGGGTACTGTATTCGGAGTGACAGTTTCTGAAATATGCAGAGGTTAAATGAAGACCAAAGAATTGGACTAGATATTCTTCAGCTACAGACAAAAGAGGCTAGGTCTAGATTGGAGATGTTAGCCATAATTATTTTTTTCTCCTTCCCTTCCTCCCCACTTTCCACTAGTTAGTCTAAATGATAACAGTTGCACCATTTATCAAGCCTTTAAATAGGGTATTCAGGTTGTGCTTTAACAACCTTTTATAAAGTAAGCTTGCCTGCATGAGAGGACTTATTTGTCCTTATGCAGTACAACCATGGTATAATCCAGATTGTCCTAACTGATTTTAAATCTCTGGAAACACCTGTTTCTGAGGGTGCTGGGGAAGATGGTGTTAGATCCGAACGCCATATCCCTAAAGCTCTTGTAATTTGCAAGTTCACGGAGGACATTCTTTACTAAAAGATTGGGTTGCAAAATCCCCATTAGGACACTTCCTTGTAATTCCCCTCTTTGCATTTTGTACCTATTTTAGCTCTCCATTTCAAAAATGGAAGTAGGTATTTAGATACTTTCTGTTATGAAATAGATCGTGTGTAATCACATGAGTCTCCTTAAAGATACAGATGTAGAGAACTGACTCTCTACGGGGCTCAAGTTCTTAAATGTAAGCATGTGCTGTTGTTGCTAGCTAAGCCTCCAGCCCTCCCCTATGGCAGGAGATCAAATCTAAGGTTTCAAGGGATGCATCTGCTTTACTCTAGTACTGTATCTTCGATTAGCCTAGCAGATGGAAAATAAATTGACTTAACAAGGGGCACTGTTTATGCAGATTAACTTTCCTCAAACTTCTTAACCTTAAACAGCTTTGGTTCTGACTAAAATAAACTGATTGTGATAACTGGCATGTATGCTAGTACTTGTATTTCAGTGATTTTAATGTGCTGACTTTTTTGACAGCTCCATGCTCAGCCATGGCTTACCATCATGACAGCAGACGGATATTTGTAGGTCAGGATAACGGAGCTATCATGGTAAGTTGCTGTGACTTTTCTTAAGAATGCAGAGTAGAATTGTTTAGATGTCCACAAACATCAGATGTTGCTGATGAGCTAATAGCTTGTTCCTTTCCCTTCCCCTCGGAAAGGAGCTGCTAGTCAGTGGCTGAATTCTTTTACTGTATGCTTAGGACACAGTGCAAAAACACAGAGGTGGTTCTGGCTAGATAAGAATCAGCCAGCCTCAAGAAAGCATTGAGACAGCAGCTTTGCAGTGAGTCTGAGCTACACTTTGTTGGGGAGTTATTTTGAGGAGGACGTTAAGCTGGGTAGAGTGCCATGATAATGCAAGGCTAGGATTTATGAACTGGAGCTAGCCTGCATCTGGCCAGAGATCCAGATCTGCCCATATTTAGCACTGCGGATGTCTCAGGATTTCCTTGCTGTAGACTGCGGAAATTTCAGCCCTCTAGCTCTCAAGTAACAAGAGTCAGGACTGACTTTCAAACACTTCCCCTTGCCTTGAGTCGATAGAGGAAATGTGTGTACTTTCCTTTCTCGGAAGTCTTCCTTCTGTCCTCTTAGCCTCCTGCTCTGATTTCTCTCCGTCTCCTGAAGGAAGGATGCATGTGGCAGAATAGAAAGTAGGCCTGGGTCCTTTCCCCACTTTCCTTGGAAAAGGAGGGGAATCCTTTGACTCCCAGATGTTTTAGTAGTTTCCTTTTTCTGTGAAAATAAGACCAACGTAATAATTGTCCTAGAAAGAACAAGAGTACAAAATGAATGTCATCAGTAGTGATGCTTTACTACTGGAAGTTATAAGCCAAGACCTTTAAAAATTCTGCAAATCTAATGAATCAATAAAGAGCACTCATATAAAGCTGTTTTGAAGTTTATGAGGTCTCATATCCTTAAATCCAAAATACTACAAGAGTTTTTGCTTGTTCTTATGAGGACATAAGAACAAATAGAGGCTCATCTCTGTATATTTTCCCTTCAGTGATAAGGGTTCTATGAGCATGTTGCTTCTCAAAAACACTCAAAACCAGCAGTTTGGTATAAAACTGAACAGTAACTTAGAGCTGACTTCTCAATTTGCTGTGCTTCATCCTGAGAAGCTTCTTGGTTTTAGTAAGATACATTGCCAGGCTGAGCAAGTTCTGGATTGTGAAATCACTGCTCCTTTTTTAAATCAATCTCTTGCCGGTTTTTGTGTGGTGTCTCTTCTAACTGTCCCACTTCCTTGGCTTTAGGAGTTTCATGTTTCGGAAGACTTCAATAAGATGAACTTTGTGAAGACCTATCCAGGTAAACTGTTAACCAGCATCTGCATTAACAACTGTGTCAAGGGGAGGCTTCAAAAATGCTCAGAAAATTCGGAGGCATCACATATGAGTCAAGGCCAAACATGCTTTAAATCTAACCGTTCTTCCAGCTGTCAATTAAGAGTGATTGCAGTAAGAGAGATGTTTTATTGTTGAGTAATCACTAGTCAGTTAGATCTCAGAATTGCAGTCATTATCACTCAAGTCTGCAAGTGTAATGAGCCAGAACTAGTGAAAGCTCAAATCTTGCTCTTCAGGGGAAGTAGCTGGTCTGCGTGAATGTTAGAGCTTTCTAAACGTGTGTTTTGACATTTGCAGATTCTGTATTTATTTTCTGTAATCGCTGGGAATAGGCTATTTCTAGATATGTAAGAATCATTGACTCCCTTATCTAGGAGAGCGAAAGGGATGGCAAAGACTGTTTTTTTCAGATATTTGGGAGTAGAGTTTGTTCAAATATTTATGGAGATGTTTTTGCCACTTGTTATCTAGGGTCGGTATCTTGCAGCTCCCTGATACAGACAGAAACAGATGTTCTTGCTCACAAAGGAGAGATTGTGTTCTTAAACAACAAGATCCCCTTTATGCTAAGGTGGATGACTTGGCAGCCCTAAGTGAAGTGCTTGGGTGTTGGGGGAAAATATGTCGCTGGGCAGGGAAATTTTTTCTAACATTTCTGTGACTGCTTGCTTAGTGGCAGCTTTCTAAAGTAAGCTGAAGTCTCGGTGGGACTTGTTTGCTAACACGAGGAGCAAACTGAATGCCCTGGACTAGATCATTTTCAGTATTTAAGAGAGTGAATCTGATCATATCCCCCATGAAGGAGGGGAAAAAAGGCACTTAGAGAAAACAGTTAAGATTTTACATGTATTACACAGCTTTCTAGAAGTGCTGGCCTAACAGAGGAAGCTGAGGGCTTGCCTGCTAACCAGAGTATTTCAGGTTCCAGGGGTGAACTCTGCTTCTGTCTGTATGGGGGAAAAAAAACCTTATATTAGCTGACGTGATTGAATTGTTAAACTATTAAAACTATTCTGTTCATTTAAACAGAACAATGCTAACCTTTTAACGCAGCCTTGGAGCAAGTGTATTATGGTAGTGAAAACTTCATGGAGCATTTTTTTGGTATCACTTTCAATCTGAATTATTGCTCATAAGGATGATTCGGTTTTAGGAAAAACTATCAAGAATCTCTTCCCACAGCTCATCAGAATCGAGTATCTGCTATTATCTTCTGCCTGGCCTCAGAGTGGGTCATCAGTACGGGTCATGACAAGTGTGTCAGCTGGATGTGCACCCGAAGTGGGAGTATGCTGGGAAGACATTACTTCACTTCTTGGGCTTCGTGTCTACAGTATCCTTTGGGAATGATTGCTGCCCAGTGTTTTGTTCCCCGAGCCCCTGACTGTGTGTATTTGGTGGTGGTATTGTTTTTTTTGTTTATTTGTTTTGTTTCCTTACATGGGACAGATTAAGTTAACTATCCTGCAAGTCCACAAACGCTTGTTCTGGTCAGACGTTTTATACTTCTGCTTCTCTTCGCTCTTGTTGGATAGTTAAAGAATGTTGTGAGTTTGAGAGTTACAGAAGTCTTGATAGTTCCTAATTTTGAGATGCTGGTCCTTTGCATGTTGTGAAAATTATTTGTATCTGAGGACTGATGAGTTAACTCCTGCATTATGTGTTGTCAAGTGTGTGTGTTTGCTTTGCAGCTCCTACATTCTGAATAGCAGAAGCCTTCTAAAAGCCTAAAATGAACTTGTTTCATCCTTCTTGCTCTCCTTTAGTTTTTCAAGATGGTCAAGTAGCAACAAGAACAGACTGTCACAAAGCTCTTGTATAATGCTTTTTTCTAACCATGCCACTGTGCTAGTAGATCCCATGTTAGGAAGTAGGGTTTCTTTTATGTCAGTGTCACATGGCAGAACTTTCTGAAATACTGTCAGTTTTGGATAGTAAGGACCAGCAAACTTGAAAGCATCGAGAAGAGCAACAAGAGCGACATGGTCCTGCCTCTTCAGTAGCTGAAACAGTACAGTTTTGCTCTAAGGTGAGCCAGTTGTGGAGGAACATCTCTGAATCCTGGTTATTCTGGCCTGTCCTGGAGGCATCAGCTGTATTTCTGTAAACTTAGTCTCCTGGCATTTTAGGAGCAGATACTAGATGAGAATGAATGGCACCTCATGTCCAGTGTAGTGCTCCTAATGGTAGCTCTGTACTGTAACAAGTAGCCTGAGGAGGCTTGATGTATCTTGTGCAGGAGTGTGTTCTGTATATGTGTGCTACATCTAAATGTACTTGCTTGCCTCAAGCTGAAGTACTGGAAAGCCCCAGGAGATGCCGTAGGAGACTCCATCTTCCAGTTTATCTCACTTATTTTCCATATTGTCCTGCTTGCACATACAGGGAAAAGTGGAGAGAAAAGAGGAATGAAAAGGATTTAACTACTGTAGTATCCAAAACTTCCAAAGCAGTAATGTAAATACCTGGCAAACTCTTTTTTGTTTTTGCTTTTTTTTTTTTTTTTTAGGCCTTAAAATACTCGTTAAGAGAGTCCTTTCCTTGACGTCTGTTCAGATATGATTATGAAACTCAGCATGCCTTTGTTGGTGACTATTCTGGACAGATCACACTTCTCAAGCTTGAGCAGAACACATGCTCGGTTATCACGACACTCAAAGGGCATGAAGGTAAAGTAACTTCTTAATTCCACAGAATCTTGATTCTAGTAGCTTTCTGTAACTGAACATACCACCCCGATTCAATATCCCCCTGTTATGGGTAGGCAGTAGATGAACAACTGGTGCAGAGCAAAAGCTGTTTAAACTTGTGTGCATTGACCATCCCTTAGAGAGGAAAAATGCTCTCGCCCTAAGTTCCCTTCCTTTAGTCCTCTGCACACTTAAAAGCCCCTTTTTTATAGATAAGATATAAAGGTAAAAATGTTTTTGATTAAACTTGATTTATCCACTAGAGGGCCACCTTTTAAAGACTTTAGACTCCTTAACATGGGAAAAGAAAGGACAAAATGTGTTACTTTTCCCCCTCTGAAGGCCTTGTAGCACAAGAATACTACGTAAAGCAGCTGAAGTCTAGATTTGAAAAGCCACTTAATTCCTCCTGTTAAAGAGAAGGACTCTTCTACAGAGCGGCTGTATGCAATGAGTAAGGCAAGAATGTGGTTTGCAAAAGAATGTGTAACTTCAAAATATGCTGAAAGGGTTGAGATGTAATGCCTTTTCCCATGTGGTTACTGTCAAATCAGCTGACCAGCCTGCTGCCCTGTTAGGCTCAATGAGTGGGTCATGAGTCTGTTGCCTGCTGGAAAAGATTTCTTTGTGTAGTGCCCACAAGTTACAGAGCAGACTTGTAGAGGGGCAGACTCCTGCTTTACAGATGGCTGTACAATCACAAAGCTGGCTCTATATGTGAAAGGCAGGTTGAGATCTTCAGATGGTAAATGCCTCCTTTTGCCTTCAAGCAGAACTTAAGGTTGTGTCAGCTGAGTGCACAATAGCTCTTGGCTCGATAGATGCCTTTACCTGTACAGGCCTTCACGGCAGTCTGCATCCAAATGTAGCTTCTTGGCAGAGACCAGTGTTAATCTGAAATAAGTATGTCTGGATGTGGCACTGCCTAGTACATGTTCTGTTTATTGAATTAAGGTGGGCTTCCGTGCCCTGACTTCAACAGAGCTATTTGTGTAGCTGACAACATTGGCTCCTTGTTCCTCCTGGGATCTTTTATGACAGATGCTTAGAGTAGGGGGGCAAAACCATTTTTTTCTTCATTTGACACAATAATAACTCTATCCTTTTTTCCCCCTCACACTGTTTGCATAATATCCTCAGGCCCTTGCAATGCCATATTTAAGTGGTAGCTAGTTCTTCAAGTGTGGCTGTGTTCCAGACTTGAAGTGCCTTACTTCCACTCTGCTTTTTACTTTACTGTGACTTCTTTGTAATTTAAATGATTTCAGAGGTTGTCCTTCAAGAAGCAGCTTCCAATGTTCTCAGCATTTAGCAGACTGCTCTGTATAATGTTAAGACATAATATTCATATTGCTGCTTCTAGCCTGGGGGGCAGGGAGATGTCATTGTTCTCTCACTGAAACACCTATTCCCAAATGGGTCTGTCTGAAACAGTATAACTCTAAAGGAGGCAAGACAAATTTCTTGCTCCAAAGATGTGGAAAAGATTGTTTTGGGCTGTAATTACTGTTTATCTCTCAGATTATCAAGCCACTTGACAATTGAAAAATGTAAGGATGCTTTAAAACATAACGTAGTCTGGAAGGGAATAAATGTTCTGTACCTTCAAAACCAAAGGCTTTGAAGTCTCCTGTCTCTCCTTCAGTCCATTGCCTTAAGGCCTTCAATGTTTGATACTGCAGTGAGGGGGTACTGCTTTATTGGCTCTGAAAGGCATGGTTGCATTAGAGTGACTCTCTTAAATCTAACTGCAGAGTCTTCTCTTCCTAGGAAGCATTACTTCCCTGTGGTGGGATCCTGTTCAACGACTGCTCTTCTCAGGTGCCTCTGACCACAGCATTATCATGTGGGATATTGGTGGAAGGAAGGGACGAACGCTGCTGCTCCAGGGCCATCAGTATGTATAATATCTTATTTTTTCCTGTGTGTTTTCTAATGAACAGATGAATTCTGAGGAAGACTAAGGAGCATGACAGAATATTTGAATCTTTGAATCTTTGAATAGTTAAAGGGATAGAATAGGACTTCTTGCAGAGCTCTGAGGACTCCCTGTTTTTAATGGGGAGAGAGTTAATATTAGAGAAGCCTTCCTTTTAGAAAAGTTGTGCTGTAAAATGTGTGCTTATAAAATGTGACTCTGGGTCCAAGTCATTTGATGCTCAAATTGCACTCAGTTTTTTACTGCCAGCAAGTGTTAAGTGGAGCTGCATCTCTGGATTCTGGTCAAGCCCATAAGAATAGTGCTCTAATCAGCATCCCGGTGCTAGAGCGATGCCAGCATTTGCTCACTGATGTTCATTGCTCCACTTCGATGTGGTAACGTTTAATAACTGAGTTGTTTGTGAGTCAGCTTTGGATTCCATGGCAGACTCACAAGGATGAAACAGGATTTAGTGGAAACTTAAATTTTGCTTAATGCCTAAGGGTAAAGAGTATCTGCTCTGTTTGCAGCGACAAGGTGCAGGCTATCTGCTATCTCCAGCTGACACGACAGCTGGTATCCTGTTCAGCTGATGGGGGAATTGCTGTTTGGAACATGGATATCAGCCGAGAAGAGGTAAGACCGTGTCTTTGGCCAGAGGTTTCCCCTCTTTGAGCTGACACGGCTCTGTGTCATGCTTTGCCTGTTTTGCAGGCTCTCTTCCCAACATTGTCCGAGCATTTAAGGCTAAATGATGAGATGGAATTTATAGAATCATAGAATGCCGAAGGTTGGAAGGGACCTCAGAGGTCATCGAGTCCAACCCCCCTGCTCACGCAGGGTCACCTAGAGCACGTGGCACAGGGCTGCATCCAAGCGGGTTTTAAAGATCTCCAAAGAAGGAGACTCCACAACCTCTCTGGGCAGCCTGTTCCAGTGCTTTGTCACCCTCACAGTGAAGAAATGCTTCCTTAAGTTCCTGTGGAACTTCCGATGCTTCAGTTTGAAGCCATTTCCTCTAGTCCTATCCCTGCTCACCACTGAAAAGAGGCTGCCCCCTCCTCCTCACTGCCTCCCTTGAGGTATTTATACACGCTGATCAGGTCCCCCCTCAGCCTCCTCTTCTCCAGGCTGAACAGAATTTATAAGGTAGGGATCTACTCCCCAAAGGATTGGGGAGCCATTTTTAGGACTTTGGTATACTTGAGCTGAGCTTACCTTGCATGTTCCCTCTGCATCACTCCATAAGCATCATAGGAGCTGAAAAGATATAGTTAGGACAATCCTCCTCTTCCCCATTAGAGGGAGTCTGCATAGCCACAAAGTGGCATTGGTGACTTTAAAAATTCTGTTAAGTGTAAAATGCTGTTCTGAGTAAGCAGGCAAATAGAACATGAGCTGGAGAGGCTGCTGACGTGCTCTTTCCTCCCTGCTCCCTGGCCTGGTTACTGCCCATTAACAATGGGTTTTTTTTCCCACTAGCATCACTAGCATGGGGGAAAGAAGATGCAGTCAAGGTTCAAAGAGTAAAAATGGGACACGTGGCTATTAATGAGTTTAATGTGGGTTGGTGGTGTGACTGACCATACCATTGTTCTGTTGTTATTGACAATAGTTATATGGTTATATTTCTCTGCCAAACTTTGAAGAGATTGCTTCCTCAGATGCCTGAAGTTGTGTATAATATTTTAACTCAAGTCTGTGTACTAAAGGTTTATTGCCTCTTGTTTTATCCCCTAAAGGGTGCTCAGTTAGTGTCTTTGGATGTCGAAATTTCTCTCCAAGTTATTTTCATTTTCCGTGCACCATTTACCAACAGGAGGAATAAGTGGGTGGGAGAGGAGATGCTAAATGAAGATGTGGGCTGCATGGAAAATACAGATGAGTTCTTGTTTATTTCAAACAGCCTCTGCAATCCTGAGGAAAGAGATTTACCTCTGGAAATGATCTCTTGATGAAAACGAGTTTAGAGAGGCTGGCTGCCTCATAACTTCTGTAACTTGGATTACTAGCCCTCAGAAATCATTTAGGCAATCAAAGCAGCAGTCTTCAAACACCTCTGGCAAATTTAATAACTCAGGCATTTGAATTAGCTTTTTTATTAAGGCAGTAGCATCAAATATTGCTCTGGGGTTTTAGGGAAAAGGTGTGGGAGGTGTGTAGGTCTCGCTAACAAATGGCTGCAGTTATGAAGTGCCGTGTGCCGCCTCGTTCGCTTGGATTTCTTTGTACCAGACTTTCCATGCCCTGTGTGCTGGGCAGCCTGGCTTCTGTTGCAGCATGGAGCTGAGGGGAGCACCTCACTGGGTAAAGCTTCCCTGTGCCGGCTTGAACTTCCTTGGTTGGCTTACGAGAAAACCCAGGTCTGATTACTTGCATCTGCTGCTCTTTCCTAGGCACCCCAGTGGCTAGAAAGTGATTCCTGTCAGAAGTGTGAGCAACCCTTCTTCTGGAATATCAAGCAAATGTGGGACACAAAGACTTTAGGATTGAGACAGGTGAGATTGAATTAACAGTTCTTCAGCACATGGGCAAACGGCAAATGTAAAGCAACCGGTTCGTCCTTCAAGGTGTTAATATTTCTGCTGTTTTGAAGGAAGGCTTTTTGAGAGGTTGCAGCTTCTAGGCAGTGCTAAGAAAGTCCAAATGCAAAAAGAGTTTTTTTGGAAAAAGTTTGGAAAGAGTTGCATCAAACTTGTATCATGTGGCAGAGCAGGTTGTGCTCAGAGCACTGTCAGATTTCTCTGTATATCTTTGTGCACTGAAGCTGTGGACAGCTAATTTTTGTGCTGCATTAAGTGGCAGACAGTGTCTCGTAATTAAACAACCAAATTGCCAGCCTAATTGCTGTGGAGAGAACCCAGTTCACTGAAGCATTGATGGCCCTGCTCTTACTGTGCTGCAGTTATGGAAGCTTTCCAAACAGCTCCCTCCTTGGGACTTGGAGGTGCAAATTGGAGACTCTTGTCATCCATTTGTGACTTTTCTGAACTGATTTCCTTAGCTGCTTCCCCAACAATTTTTTCCTGCTCCCCAGAGAAACTAGTGCAAGGAGGAGGGGAAGGGCAGGGAAGGAAAACTTCTGAGCAGGCTGCTGCTGCTTACCGAACGTTCAGTAGGACAAATGGCACAGGGTAGTCATTTCCTTGTTCCTTCCCCTCCCTCTCTGTGAAGCATCATTGCAGAAAATGTGGACAAGCAGTGTGTGGCAAGTGCAGTACCAAGCGGTCAAGCTACCCCATCATGGGATTCGAGTTCCAGGTCCGTGTCTGCGATTCCTGCTTTGAGTCCATCAAGGATGAGGAGTGAGTATCAAGAAGGGTCTCTGTGTCACGTAGCAATGCGAATGACGTACAGAAACACTTGTGTAGCGTTGTGCCCAAACATCCCAAGCTGACTGCATTAACAAGTCAGACTTGCCCTGGGTGCCCAGTAGACTGTGGTGCAGAGATCACGAAACTGGTTGTGCAAGAATGTTTAGATCAGATGTGCTGTTACTGCACAGTCCCTGGAATGCAGTCCAGTTGTCCTCTTCCCCATAACCCCAGATCTGGAGCCTGAAACAAACTAAAATCAGGATTTTATTTTATTTTTTAATATTATTTATTTGTTTTTGTGTATAGGCTATTGGTCACCCTTAAAATTACAAGATAGGTAGCTGGGAGAGTGTCACAGCTGTCAGGCTGTATATGCATTAGTTTATATCTGCATACTGAAAACTCCTACTTTAGGTGTGCTCTTCACAGGCCAATACGATTTTTCTGTGCTAGCAAATAGTTAAACACTGCTAACTGTCTCATTAACTACCCTAGCTAGGGAAGATCTTCTTTGAGCACTAAAGAACTGAAGACATCAAATGACCATTTTTTATTTAAAATAAAATAAAACAAGGGAGTGGGAAAAGTGCTGTGGGAAAGGTACTTTTGGGAAAGGAAGAATGTAGCTGAGCTTAACTCTGTAACCAAGAGTACAGTATTTTTATTTAAGCAGTGTTCCACTTCTGCTCTACATTTCTTAAAAGCCAAGTTAGGGAGGCCAGGCAATGCCTCACATGTGTAACTATCCAAGTGATGACTTAGCCTGACCTGCTAGCTTATTTCTGTCCACTTTGAGCTGCCAGTGCTGTTCTTGGAACTGTCCTTGGGTTTATTAGTACTCAAAACAACCTTTTTTCTTTTTTTTTTTTTTTAAATCATCTTGTGTTGTTAAAACGGTGTCCTGCAGCTTCACCTAATTGCTGACTATCATGTGAACTCTTTGCTTACAGCCGTACTTCCTTGGCAACCTTTCATGAAGGAAAACACAACATTTCACACATGTCCATGGACATCTCCAGAGGGCTGATGGTGACCTGTGGGAGCGACCGGGTTGTGAAGGTATTCATGTACCTCTTTCCTGTGTTTGCTGGAGATGCTTAGTAGGAAACTAATAGAAATGTTTGTATATGCTTCTTCCTTTCTGACAGCTGTAGCTACCAAGCTAACTGTTGTGAGCAGCAGGAATATTTTTTGCATGCTGTTATTCTTGCAGCTGAATACAGACATGACCTGTAACTCTATTACCTGGCTTAGTCAAGCTGTCAAAGCTGGCTACTGCTGATGTCCTCTGAACAGAAGAGGTGGGCATCAGCAGGAGCAGGATCTGCCTTAACCACAGGAGATGGGACCTGCATGCTCCTTTTAGTCTGAGCTCCCTAGCTGCCTAGAGCCTTGCCACCTAAAGCCCTGGCTGTGGGGCAGTGATATGGAGATTAGAATGATTTATTTTTTCACTAAACAGACCTACAGGGCACTGCCCCAGGATGCTCCTGAGCCTCAAGTTTGCCTGCTGGTTTGCAAGAGTATTCCTGTTCTTTACCCCTTTTTCTGTGCAGTTAATTTAAATTGCATTTGTTATCCTGTGTCCAGGGAGATCATTTCTGATTTCTATCTATTATAGCAATATTCTGAAGCTTAAGTGACATTTCTGTATAATTCTCCACAATATTTCCCTCTAGATTTGGGACATGACACCAGTAGTTGGTTGCAGCCTTGCAGCTGGCTTCTCTTCACGCTGATCTCCCGCCAGAGAGGTTTATGCACCTTATGTACAGCAATATGCATCAAATGAATGAAATCCTTCTAAGAATGCTACGGCAGACACCGGTTGCTTGGTTCTTCTCCTGCTGCTCTTCCAGGATGGACGGACAGTCATCTTTGTAGAGGACAGCTTTTCTGTTGGGCTCACCAGGAATCTCCTTGGTGTGGAAATGCAGTTCCACGGCCTCTGGGACTAACGTAAAACGGCTTCCCTGCAACGTGACACCTTCAAAAAGGACCTGTTGTTACTGGTTTACATGTAGTGTTAACAACGTGCTCTCTCTGCTGGTGCATCTTGTATAAATACCTTGTAGCTAAAGCATTATCAGCGTAAAACACGTTTAGTTAATTCGATTCGTGCAAATAGTGAAGTAACTTATTCTCTCTTCCAAAAAGCAATTCTGTAGAAATACTTTTGAGCAGTCACTGTCTAAACTGTCTCCAAAAGGTATACTGGTTATTCCTATGGAAGGAGGAAATACTTTTAAAATGGCAGGTAGCTTCTTTCTGATGAGATAGTAGGAGAACCTTTGGTCGTGCAAGATTTCCTTTATTGGCTTTCTTGTAGTGTTTGTCTTCAAGTTGAGTTATTAGTGAAATCACTTTTGTGGGACGCCTGTTCTGTTTAGGTAGCTGGCAAATCTTCCAACAATTCTAAGCTCTTAAATAGATTTTAGCCTAGGTAACAAATTTCTGTACTTCTTATTAAAATGTATAGCTCAGCTACTCTAGTTTAAAAACAGGTTATAGGTATGAACCATTTACTTTGACAGCTCTATAAGGCTGTTAGAATGGGAAGCTAAACAAATCTGCCTTGTTAAGTGCAATGGCTAAGAGAAAATGGCCAGATAAAGTTTAGAGACTTTTTCCTGTGGAAAGGCTGACGATTCTTTAATGGTAAGGAACCTGTCTCTGCTAAAGTGCAGCATAATTCTAAGTATTGCCTTGGTGTTGCTTAAAACTGACAAATACTGAGGCTTTCCAAAGCAATAATTGCTGATGTACAGAAAGCTGCATCCCCCACCCTTGGGTCTGTAATCCTGAGATGTCCATACTGATCCATTCCCATCACAAAGCTGAGAAGAAGTGTGAAGAAGAGCTGGGAGGCTCTATGGTTGTGCAATTGGCTCTTACAGGGAATTGCTACTGAGGCAGTGCCAAGGCATTGGCCTGTCAGCTGTATGAATCCATTTGAATGCCAAGAGGAACTTGCTTTGAAATGCTCTGAAAGCCAAGGCAGTGTGGCACAGAGCTTAATTTGGGAGGGTTTTTAGACCTTTTCTGAAGCAGGTGCTCACTGTGAGGACAGAAAAATCAAATAGGTCACCTGGCCCAGCGTGAGTGGTGGTGCGGAACCATCACAACTAAGGGGCCCTTTCTGGCAGAGGACTAGGGGGTTTCACTGTCTTCATTACAGCAACAAAGAAGTGGTGCTATGATAGTTAGTGATCTCAGCTCCTAGTTCTCTAGCTTGATGGTGATATTCTCTGGACCGTGCTGTAGCTAATATCTGAAGATCAGTGTTGTAGCTAATACATCATGGTCCACTTCTGCCTTGAGCCAAAAAGCTGATAGTGTCCAACACGGGCATTAGAATGCAGACTATATTAGTTACTGTTATCCTAGGTCTGGCTTTATCTGAATTTATGTGGGCTTCTTCCTGAAGTATTGCTGAGAGTCTGTTAATTTGCTAAGCTTATTGGACCAGTGGAAAACAACAAACAAATCCCTCTTTTGGGGGAATAACAAAATTTGTGTTGCCCTCAGTTTGGGATTTAGCACTTGTCATGTCGCTTTGATTCATCTTGCTACATGCTCTATAGCTTAGGCTTGTTTCGTGAAGGCTTATTTCTAAGCTATTGAGAGAAAAACAGCCTGTGTTTAGGGGGGAAAAAAGGTAAAATAAGAAGTTAGATTACTGCTCTGAAAGCCTTCACCCCTGTACATTGGGAAGGAAACTGTGTTTGAAGAGGTAAGTGCTGATAATGCTCCACATTCTGTTTCAAATCTCCTTTGGAAGAGAATGGAAAATTTCTCTTCCTTGCAGACCGTGGCTGTGTAGCTAGGTCTGTCCAAGATGCAATGTGAGGGGAGGCTCTAGGATCATGTGTTCAGCTGGGAGATGGATGTGGATGCGGTGGGAACAGCACATGTTTCAAACCAGGTGATGGGAAGCTCTCCTCACAGCAGTGATACAGAGGTGCAAGTCTTGAGCTGCTGACGTTCCTGAACTTCAGCTTTTTTACTTCTGACTAGTCAACATGCTCCCTGCTCAGTGTGTAGCTCCCAGCCCCCTTCCCTGTGAATACTTCCTCTGCTCTTGACAGCCACTTATCTTACATTAAGGTTTGCCACTAGCTAATATATTCTCTACTACATATTGGTAAACCTAATGAATCTATTTTCTATACTTGATATGTACTTAAAGGTAGTGTCAGTTTGGATATAACAAGATAATTACGGCTGCCAAAAGTCATTAGTCACTTAAGTATACTCTTGGTGTTGAATGAGTAATGCTTACAAACCACTAAAGAGATGCTGTGTTGTTTAAAACAACTGTATAAGGTGCATACTCTGTCTTGAAACTGAACGTGCTTCAACTGTGTCAGGTCAAGTGTGCAGTTACTGAGGACGCTTGATTTGAAGCATTACTAATCTCGCTGTATGACCTCTTTCATTGAGGCAGGGTAGGGGAGCACAGGGTACTGATGTGTGCTAATTCTTTGCCTAGTTGTATTTCTGTACCCTGCATAGTTAAGAGATCTGTCCCTTGCTCCCTCTTCTCTGAGGTTTTGTTTTTTTAATTTTGATTACATGTATAATAAAATATTTCTTGGTATTCACTTAGCCTATTTGGATGACCCATCTTGTCTTTTATACTGAGCAACTCCCATCCTGTGCTGTGGTTCCTGATGTAGATAGTCCCTGCCCAAGCTCTGCGTTGCGGGGAGGGCTGGTCAGGCTGCTGCCTGGAGCTGCATGAGCCGCAGCACTAGGGTTAAAGGCCTTGATGAACCAGTGGGGTGAGACAAACAACTGCTGTGGGTCCTAATCTTATGCACTGAGCTGAACAAAGCTGCAGCTGGGGACATGCAGCTGTGCTGCCTGTCCTTGCTGTCCTGCTTGGCAGCTCATCCAGACCCTTTCTCTGCTTATCTGGATATTCTTCTGAGCACTGTGAGGTCTCTTGCGGTATCAGAAGATAATTTGCTTCCCTGGGATCCCATGGACTGGTGTGAGCTGGAGCTGGCGCTGGATGAGGGGGCAGCATCTTGTGTGCGATGCGCACAGAGGATGCATCCTGCAGTCACAGGAGCTGCCCACACTTGTCTCGTTGGAAGGGATGAGGATGAGCAGGGAGGTATCCACATCCCTAACACAATTGCTCACACCACTCACATTCAAAGACAGTATAATACTGTGCTGGATTTTTATCAAGACCTATCTGTTTTTGATCTGTTTGAACTTCTCACCTTCCCCAAAGCAAATGCTCTCTTCTCTCAACGAAAAAATTGACTGTGAAATCAAGCTCTCACTGATGGTGGAGCCAGAAAAGCTTGTGTAGAGGCCTGTGTAGACTTTGTTATGGCGCATTTTAAATCTAACCTGCCTATCTACAGTTCAAAAGTGTTTGAGAGCTACAAATGTTGTTCTTGTAGGGAAAATGCAAAGATGTCTGGGCTGCTTTTTTACCAATGTATAGCTGACTAATGTCAGGGTCCTTCCCTTATAGCAAATCTTCATCTGAACTTCAGAGAAAGCAGGTTTTAGCAATGAGTGTTTTAGTGTGGTATTGCACTTAGTGTTGAAGCCAATGGACAGACTAGGAATAAGTTGGATTCAAGAAAGTGTTCGTTCTTCAGTGTTGATCAAATTGGCAAATATATACCGTAAATTGAAAGCCCTCCGAGGCTCTTTTATGAGTAAACTTGGAGGTCTTAGTTGTAAATGTCTTGGCTAACAGTGAAAGGCCATGATCAAAATCTATAGAGAGAGGAGGGAAAAAAAAATTGCTTGCTTAGCATGGCTTTTTTTCTTTTTTTTTCCCCTTTTTTTTTCTCTAATCATTAACTAAGCATCCTTCAGAAAGTTAAAATTTAACCTTTGGAAGCTTTATCCGCTTCTCTCGTGAATATAAAGCGAATGGCAATTGCATGGATGTATCCTTAGTATTTATCTAGCCCCACATCAAGATAAACTTATGTAGAAATGCAGGTTGACTGTAGGATTTCCCTCCGGGTTTTTATACTTGGTCTTTCTGTTCTTCCTCTAAAATATTAGTGTGTTCAGTCTTGCCTTTCCCTTGTTTATAGGGAAAGACGCAGAATAGTTGAAGTTGCTCATAATGATACTATATCTTTCTTTATCTAAATAAGATTCCATGGCCCTTGTATCTTTATCCATGTTCCTTTCTGCAGCCCGTTTTCGCTCAGCTTCCAGTTTAAACCGAGCAGGTTTCAGCTTAAAATGCATGCATTTCTCAAGGCTCTGAAGAGCATTTGTGACCTGAGGGTGCCCTCCGTGGTGATGACCAGAGCGGACACTGCTCGGTCACGTTCCTTGCTGCCACCGAGCTACGGCCGCTTCTCTCCGCTATGCGCTGTGCTGTGTCGCATCCCTGTCCTCACTGCCTTTCTCCTTCTTTCTCTCTCAGTTTGTGGCTCCTGCTGCGAGTTTCCCCTGCCTGTGCTGGAGCTTGGCTGTGGGACGGGCGGTACGAGCTCTCGGAGCGACCTGGACCGCTGCGCGAGCGCCCGCCGAGCAGGTGAGCGGCCCTGCGCGGCTGAGCCGGCGTGTCACGGCAGCACCCAGGGGTGCTGGCGGCCCTGCGAGACACTCGGCTCCCTCACCCTCCACCGTGGGACTCCATCGCGTTAAGCACCCTTAGCAATGCAGCTGTGCTTGTCTTCTGCTCCCTTCAGCCCTTGCAGCTTGGGAAAGAGTATAATATAAAGCTGCTGCTTCTCCATCCCTGAGCTACGGCCGTGCCCCTACTAAGGGGGGCCACCAGTCTTTTTAATCTTGTTTTCTGTTACGGTAAAAACATGCTGTAAATGTCTAAGTTATATTGGTGAAACTCTATTTAAAACTTGGTTTCTTGGTTATAATCTACAAGAAGGAAGTAGATTGTTTATGATGTCCAATCCAGCTCTTTTATGGAGGAGAAATGCAGGACACGTAAGCACATTTATAGGAAGCCAGGGATGTTTTAGTCCTTCTACTTCAAAGCGGTAGTTTTCTTGCTTTAACGTGTGAATTTGCCAGCTGCATGTTCTCCTGTTTCCAAGCACAGGCTGAGCTTTAATAGCCAGGGCAAAGGAGAAGAGTGAAAGAAGCCGAGGGAGGTGGGGAGGAGGGTGAAAGCAGCAGTGCTGGGACTGCAGCACGTGCCAGCACAGAGCCCTGCTCCGGAGGGCTGCGAGGAAGGGGCCGGCGTCCAACAGCTCTTAATCCCGGTGAACACAAGAGGGCTGCAATAATGAATTTTTTCCGGGTAGAAGTACAATTCTCTATGGGGTTTTATTAATGCCTACCTGTCTTCTGCCCTGATCTTCGTTTTCTACAGCTAGGAAACAGAATAAGATGCTACCTGACATCTTTTAAGAGCTTATATACCCTGCCAATCTGGTGCAGGCTGTAATGGTTTGAGAATGCCAGTTTTTATGTTTCTCTAGTGCCTTGAACTGCTGAAATGCTGGTGCTACTGACTGAAAATGCTGTTGCTGCTGCTAAGTACAAAACCCTGTGACACAGGAATATAATTCTCTATGTTCCTTAGGGATATGAATGTTCTGTCTTGCGCCTAAGTTCTGGAGAATTCAGATCTTGTGAGGAAATGACCAAAAGGAGTAAGTGAAATGCAGGGAGAAATTGTCTGGAAAAGTACAACCCCCTGCCTAGTAAACAAGAGCAAGTGTTAAGCCTTTATTGATCCAAAGTGCAATTAAAAACTACCTCCTGCAGTTGAGTATAGATTGAGCTTTTACATTTTTTCTTTCCCCCATAGGCCTAGTATCGAGTGGAAAAAAACCTGTGCAGCAGGTCTGTAAAATCACCGGGTGTTCGTGAACCTGGACTCCCTGATTCATGAGGTCTGCCCGTCTGCATTATCTGTGGCTCTGTGTGAAAAACAAAAGCTCAGTTTAGGTGGTGAAAAATGAGACCGTGGAGACGGCTGGCTAGAATCAATGCGAGTGGTGAGCGCTCTGCTTCGCTGCTTGTGATACTGGCCGTGAGCAAGGGGACTTATTCCTTTGATGTAAGTGTGTTTTTTTCAGAAGGAAACATTGCAGCTTTTCAGAGGGAAGCAGGATTGCTGCGTTTTGTTCTCTTCCTATTAGTCTTTAGCCAGTGGTTTCTGTTTTTTAAAGTGGCCTGGAGGTTTGTGTGCCTTTCCTTGAAAATGTACACGGAATGTAAGTTTGTAATTAACTGTAATCAATAGTGAACGTGTAGCTTTGCTTAGATGGCATAGGGAAAAGCATCTCTGCACACAGAACTCACACTGAAACCACCATAACTCTCCATTCAAAGGACCCTTAAGGAAGGGATATGAGCATTTTCCACCAGGCAAAGATAGAATCTGAAAGAGAAGTGCCTCAGTCTTTATATAATTCTCAGTTAGCAAAACTACTTTGTGTTACTTTGCAAGCTTTGGTGTTCAGATTAGTTAGCATGACCTGAAGAAGGGCCATGGTGTGGCATTTTCCTGTGGTGTCCCATCAGTTTGTCTGCATCCCCCATTCCCCTCGCTGTGCAGTGCTGATAACCATTGGTAGTTTCTGCTAGGAAAGCTTGAGCTATCATCTTTATCACAAAATTATGCAGGCACCCATGCGCTCGTGGCAGTGGGAGCAGGAGAATTCCAACAATCTATGGTTTCTAGTTAGTCACTCATTAAGTAGAGTCTGCCTTTCTGTACAGAAAAACATCTCACTTGGGCATAGTCTTATATCTGCAGCCTTTCCTCTGACGGGCAGCAAATTTCTTAAGTCTGCTGACTTTCTAGACTGGCCATAATTGTTAATGTTTGCCACTGTTGTTAATGTGCACTGCATGTATGATACGTTTCTGCTGCTTTTTTCCTTGTGTGATGTACTTGGAAAAAAACATAAAAGCAGGTGCTAGTTCTCTTAAGTTCATAGATCAAGTTAACTTAGATTTTTTTTTCATAGTAAAGTGCAAATATTACCACAAGATTGTTAAGCAAAAAATTATATTGTCCATCACTGGAATAAACAAAGCACACAGCTAAATGGGATGCAGGAAAGGACTTATTTTCATGAAACTCTTCCTTTTTTTGTTGTTTTTGTTTGTTTGTTTGTTGATGTGTGGGGAGTAGGATGCTCAGCCCTTGTTTTCTAATTGATTTTTGAGGGGAGAAGACTGATAGCTGCATCTGCAGCACAGCTCTGCTGGAGTTTGTGCATCCTTGCAGGATCCTGGCACACCAGGGACGAAACGCTGCCGTAATCTCAGGGGCACTCACTGCTCAGCAGCACGGAGGAACATCTGGGCTTGGGCTGCAGAGCCAACTCTGGGCCAGGGACTGCGTGGGACACGCGGAAACCAGACGTTCACACCATGGGGAGCCCGGCCTTTCAGCAGGGCTAGCCCGGCAGCTTTTGTGGCCTGCTTACTCACCCAAGCTGCCTTTCAGAGAACCCGATGAGAGGTTTCTTCCTACTTTATCAGATGCTGATTGCAACAAGTATATTTGCAAGCTCACTGAGGGCAAAAGGCAGTGGGGCCAGTGCTGTCCATTCTTGTGGCACCCTGTGTGCCGTGCCACAGCCGCACGGTAAAAGCTGAGCTTTCCTGGGCGTGCAAGGGTGTAGGACTAGGACTAGGGCCTGCAAGCCAGAAAGTAGAGGCAAGCAAGGAAATATATTCACCATGGCCTGTATTCTTTATGGTTAAGAGGGTTTCATTGAGTGAAATAGGCATAGCTGGCTTATACACCTGGAAACCTGCCTCTCTCGGAGGATACAATCTGTTTACCAGTTGTAGTGTTTTCTCACTGTAAAATCAGTTCTTCTATTGATTTTTTTGAACACCATATTGCTATTAGTTATAAAGCTAGTTCTCCACTCTTTTCCCTAAAAGTACTTTGTTTTTTTCAGGGAGAAAAGCAGGAAAACCTCTGAATCTTTTGCGGAGGGTTCTGGGGCTGGCCGGCAGGAGCCTCGTCCAGGGAGGCCGCAGCGTGGCCGCAGCCGGCACCGCGGCATTCCCGGCCTCCCTGCGCTCCGGGGTTCCTACTCGGCCACGACAGCCGGGCTGTGCCTGCGGATCCGGGAGGCAGGTTATGGGGGGGCTCCTCCTTATTGACCTTATTGACTTGGCCGGTGCCGTGGCCGCACGGGGAGCGCTTGCTCCCTGGCTGCGGCGAATGCTAAGCCGTCTAAGGCAGCTCCTAGAAGGCGCAGCTTGGCAGAGCCCGGCCATGGAAGTGCTCCGGCGTTATGCCGACTGCGCGAGCTGCAGCGTAAACACCCGGCGGCTCCGCAAGGGGTGGTTGGAACCCGCGCCCAGCTCCTCTGGGCAGCCCCTGCGGGCAGGAGGCGCCGGGGGCAGGCGTGGGCTGTTCAGTCCCCGTCCGCGCGCGCCGGCCATTGTGGGAGGGAGGGCGGGATGAGGCCGGGCGGCCTCACCTGCGCCCGGGAGGCGGGAAGCAGGCAGGGAGGGAGGCGGCGGCGCCCGCACCAGCCCCAGCTCCAGCACCGGCCGCGCCGCGCACGCCATGGTAAGTAGGTGCCGGACACCGTAGGTGCCGGACACCGTGGTGAGTGCCGGGCCTGCCGGACACCGTGGTGAGTGCGGGGCCTCCCGCGGCGCCGCCGGCACCTGCCCCACGGCGGCGGCAGCCCAGCCGCACGGCGCGGGCCGACACGGGGCAGGCCGCCCGGCGCACAGAGCGGGCTCCTTCCCAAGGACCGCCTGCACGCTCGTTACCGCTGCCACCGGCGTCCCCAGAAGCCTGAACACTCCTTCCCGGCATCTCCAAAATGGTGATTTTTAAGGTTTCTTTTTCATTTTTTTTAAGGTGATCGATCTTGTATTCTTGTTTCCACCTTTTGAACCTTTGCGGGGGGCGTCAGGCCACGCTGACGGCTCTCCGTAGGCAACCAGGAAAACAAGGCTGTGGTGTATAGAGATTTCGTAAAGTCTTCCTGTAACTTGAGGAGCGGGGGTTTCTGCTTCGTGCCAGCGCCCGCAGAGGTATCAGGTTCAGTGTTGTGCAGATCCGTGTGTTTTGGCTGGCTCTGGTGCCTACAATGGTGCGCTTTGGGGCTGTGGGTTTTCTCCCATTTGCAAGGGAGCTTTTCCAGGTTCGTTCCCTGGTGCCTCCTAAGCCGGGAGTTGTGCATGAGTCTGCATTGGGCTGAGATGCCTCTGCCCCAGCGGCGTCTTCCCTTGGCAGTCGCGGGAGCTCTGGTGTTTAAGACCTCCGGCTTCAGCAGGTTTGGCAGAAGCTGCTGAGTCGAGTTCAGGAACGGGGCGATGGGAGCGCGTGCCCGCCCTGCGTGCCGAGATGAGCCCCGTTTGGAGGGAACGGTGCTCAGCAGCGCCCGTGAGTTGAGACCCGGTGCCCTTGTGTGGTCGTGCAGAGCTAGGGCAGGTTTTGATGCTTGGCTCTCTCATCAAAGGGGGAACTGCTCTGTTTTTCAGCCAGAATGCACTTCCTTGTACATTGAAGTGTAAGTTACTGCATTTGGAAAGAAGTACCTGTCATTACCTTTGTATGTAGAATATGCACAGTAATGAATTTGCGGATGGCAGAGCAGTCTCCACGCCTTAAGTCCGCATATTTAACCTTTCTGGTTACACCCTCAGACAGCCCTGCTCATTCATTTCCCTTCGGAAAAGCTTATGTAAACAAGCGGCGCTCCTATTTTCAGTAGGTATGGGAGCTGATTTCAGGGAAGCTGCTCTCAGACATCTCCCTGCTGCTCGCACTTCACAAATGCCAGTTTTCAGGGCACTCACAGTTGTCCCAAAGGAACTTTGCTCACAGTAGTGCTGTACATTGACAATTTGGAGACTGTCAGCTGTATTGATCATTATAATTTTAAAAGATGAGTATGCATTCTTTCTTTTCTTTTTATTTTTTCCCTGTGGTCACAGCACAAACACTTGCTGACTAGTCATGGTAACTAGTGACCTGCCTTAACAGATTCGGCTGTTGTAGAAGCCCCAGTGATGGGAAGGTGCTTTCGTCAGGATACTCTTTCACTTAATATTCCTCTGTCATCCAGTCTGCATACATGGGGCTTGTTACAAATTGAGAAATAAGGGTCTTAACTCAGATTCAAAACCAGTAGCTTTCAATAGGTCATTTCAGCTCATGCTCAGTGGATCATTCCCTCCTGTTTGCAGTGCGTGGCTGTGCTTGCCACCTTCATCACAGTGGAAGCTGCAAATGGTACCGTACCTTGGCGAGAAAATTGTTCCAATGGGAGAGCTGTGTTGGGGGAGTTTCAGGAAGGAGACTCTTCAGCAAAACATTTTTCATATTCTGCTGAGAATGGTTGGTTTTCTGTGTAGCTACTGCTTCATATCACGTGGTGGGCTGGAGAGAAAGGGACTTTGGGGAAAAAGGCTAGATCCTGCCCCCTGACATGAAATGGCAAGTGCTATGGCTGCTGCTGGCAAGAGGGAGAGACATGCCCTAAAGGACTGCCCTCGGAACAGACAGGGAAGCAAAGGGCAGGGAAAGAACAGAGAGGAGAAAATGATTCGTTTCCGCGAGGACATGCGCGGTTGGAGCCTTCTGTGCCCGTACGTATTGCAACACCTCGATCCTGCTGCCACCTCGGTGTTATCAGTGTTCGTCTGATAACAGCCCGGGGTTCTGCTTGCATACCTTTGAGTGCAGAGTTAGTGCCTGCCTTGCAAGTGGCTTGTATCCTCCCACCTGTCCTTGTCATCAGTACAGCGTGAAACATGTGGACACGACCTGAAACCCACCGAAAGACCAGAAGAATCCCACTAGGAAACAGGATAAGTCAAAAAAATTATTTGGCCTGAATAGGGAAAAAAAATAGATAAGTGACCTCTCCATTTAACAAGGGATTTGATACTAGTTGCTGATGTTGAAAAGCTTGAGCACCCATGTTTGTTGAAGTGGCTGCAGTTTCTGTCATCTGTCTGGTGCTTGGAAAGGCATTTTCACCTATTCTGAATATTAATTTCACCGACAGGCTCCGTGCTCCTTAATTATTAAAATAAACATAAATCTATAAAAGATGTTTTCATTGTTGCACAGAACTTACTACTGACGATTCAAAGAAGAACATGTGCTCAGATCTTGCTTGCTTTTTTTTGTCTGCTCTTACATAGCTGTGTATCTACTGGCGAGCAAAGACTTTTGCAAACTTTGCCTCCAGGAATCCAAGTCTGAAAGACAGGAAGGGCAGCAGGTTGGCATGGATAAGGGAGGGAGAGAAAATTACAAATAAATGAATCCTTTTGTTTGAGGCAATGTTCTACACGAAATCACTTCCTCTGGTGTTTGGTTGTTGGCTGATCCGGCAGTGAACTCTGTGTGGGGATAGGTCACGGTAACAGCATTGGTTTGAGAAGATCCTCAACAGAGGGACTTTTCAGTTTGGAAAGAGATGACTATAGGGGAAATGATAGAAATGTATAAGATGGTGAATGGTATAAAGAGTGATTCTCAACAAGAAAATTCGGACTGCATCCTATGAAGATTTTAGGCATTAAAGAAAATGAAAGGAAATGTGTTGTTCTCTTGGTCTAGGTGGAACATTTTGCCAAAGGTTGCTGTGCTGACCCAGGAGTTAGGCGGCTCATAGAGGAAGGTCCCACTGGTGGTTTGTCTGGATTCGGTTTCTGGCTCTGAATCCTTAACCCTGTGATTTCTGGAGACTCAGGATTATGGAATGAATGATTTAGGCATTAAGGTTTATTGACTGTTTTATTGACTTCCCTCTGGGAAATGTTCAAATAAGAACTCTGTGCAGGAGAATCCATAATCCAGCATTAGACTGTGCCTTACTATTTCATTCAGTTGAGCTTAATACCATTTTGTGGGATTTGATGGGAAAATGGGGTTTAGATTTCTGCTTAGAAATTCGTAATGCCTGACTGGTGACACAGTCCTCTTCCAGCTTTGGCACCTCTGGAGTGCTTGAGCCCCGTTGTTAGAGCAGAGGCCAATGCAGGCTCGTTGGCACTGCGGGAATCCCATCTTGCATGAGGCTTCGGAGGGAAGCTCATTTTCGGAGAGCGAAGGGGAAATGTTGCAAGAGATCATGAGCTGGTCCTGTGCACGTGTCCATTTTGATGCTTTCACTCACAAATGAGGAAATCACGGGCACGTCTTGGGAGTTACCAGGCTGTGGGGTTACCTTTGGGGCAGGGGAAAGGTTGGAGGGCTGAGGGGAGGCTTTTGCTCTACGATATCTGGCTGCATGAGAACACAGCTGCGTGATGAGGAGGCAAGAAAATGCTGCCAAACTTGTGGATCGTGTAAGGCGTTTGCCCCTTGGCTGCTCCGGCGTTTGATGGATGCCTTCAGAAAGTCTACGGGGTAGCTTATAGACAGCAGGATTTTGAAGTAGTTGGAATAAGATACTGAAAAGCATCAAAGTGCCAAAATGATGAGGGCACCGAGGAGTCTGCGCAGTCCGAGGGGGCAGATGGAGCTGCTCCCCTCTGCAGTATCTGCAGGGTTCCTACACTGTCCTCCTCAGGCGTTACGTGAGCCAGTCGTAGTCTTTCTGCTGATGCCTAAATTAAAACCACGCTGCTCTTGTGCAAACAATTCTTCCTGTACCACACGCACAGCTACTAATTAGCGCCTATGCCCTTGATTTTCCTCTTGCCTTGTTGCTGCAGGCTGCCTGTCCGTGGCTGCTTTGGATGTTGCGTTGCTGAGCGGCCAGGCCCGGGCTCCGCAGTTCTGCAAGGGCCGCAGGAGTGGAGGGAGGCTTAAAACATCCCATCAGGAACAAGGGTGGTTTTTTGTGGGTAGGAGTATGGCATGTAGAGCCAGTGGGGAATGCTGGAAATACCAAATTTACATTAGTGCGTTTGAAGGCAAGCAAGACAGGTCTCTCTGGGCAAACATGTCTTTCTGGCCTGTTGTGCCCTCAATTTATGCTTCTTGATGCCACAGGTTTAACCCCTGGTGCTGGGGCCGCTGGTATGTTTTTCTTCTGTTTGCTAAATGCTTGTCAAGTGCTCATAAACTATCCCCTGTCCAGACCTAAGGAGAGGAGGGAGGGCATTAAAAGCCCCTTGGCCAACAAGTAGATGTCTGCTATGGCCGTATTGGCTGCCCCGGGAGCTTGAAGGTGGTTTCTGTCATCTGCTTGCAGCTCTCGGGAACTCATTAACCAGCGTAGCAATTCCTGGGTGATCACCACCCTTTGATCATCACCCTCTGCTTGGTCCCCCGAGGTGAGCAGGAGATGCCAAGCACCAAGGAGTGAGACATGGAGTTGCCTTCATGTTTGATGAAATGCAGACATCTCTCACGTTCTGCCTTTGTGCACCCAGCACTGCAAGGTGAAGCTGTGAAATATGCAGGGGGTGTCTGCTTGTCCAGTCCAAGCTTTGGAAAACACCATGAGAGTGGCTCAACACCCTGCTAGAAAATGAAACTGAGAAATGAAACCATCAGGCTGCGGCATCTAATGGACTTCATCCTCTTCTCACAATAAGGCTTGTTCTGTATAAAAGGCCTGTGTAACTTTATATCATATCAGATACTGGGTACTATCTGGGGTGTAACTACTGAAAAGCAACAGTTAGTCTTGAATTTTTATTTGTTATTAGTCTGTATCTACATTTACTTAAGCTATGAAATAAGGCTTTTGTGGACCTGTCTCTCCAGAGATGTGTGCAGAGATATGCCCCTGTATAGAGCAGCAAATAGCTGGGTGTGGAGGGCAGGACCTCAAACACATCATTTCCACCGAGTCTGATGGCAAGACCTGCCATCCAGCAGAATGAATAGAATAGCAGACTTGATTTTTGGTCC